ACTACTGCATCAAGAGAGAGCATGGCACGAGTAGAAACAATTAAAATTTTTTAAATCAGGACAAGGTCACTCACCACAGAATTACTCTAGGGATGCAAGAATTGTTTGAACAAGACTTTGTGAATCTACACAAAACTGCGTGATTATTCTGGTTAACTGTCTCTCAGGCAAATCATCCTTTTCGATTTTCAACCACCTTTTACAAAAGGCGTCTATTCAGATGCTTAACATGGTCTTTGCAAAGTCGGCAAACGATTTATATGCGCTTCTGCACACTGTAAGGATCTGTAACCTATTTGTTATTTGTATTTACAAGATCAGTCTTCATTTCATGATACATCTCAACTGAAACGGAAGATCCTGAGCTCTTTCTTTACACTCCTTTCATTATTTTCAACTTACCAGGAATAGCTTTCAAAGCCTTTCGAATGCGCTGTTTCATGGAGCTATGTGCAGCGAGGCCTCGTCGTTCTGCCATTGAAATCGCTAGGAGGTACATGTATAAACTTATGCAGTGAACACTTTCGAAACTAAGATTCACGTTATAAAGTTTACTCAGCGTCACAAGACAGGAGACAAAAATTATTGTTAGCAAATGGGCATTAATCAGTCTAAAGCACTCAAAACTCCTAACCATTAAAATATTTAAAGGGGACAAATAAGTTTACCACGTGATCCCAAGATTTAACAGAAATCGGTTCGCGCGATTTTCGATATAGCGTCTAAAAACCAAAAACAAACCAATCACTTTAAAATTTCATCTATTGGTCACTGCTTCGACGATTAAAGTGAAATCACATGGTTATTTCGCTTTTTCTCCTGACAGCTGTTCCAACGTCATCCTCACTTGTAATAATACATAGCAATAACAGTGATAATATTGTCAGAAAGAGAAAGCCCATTCGCTTTGGTGCTTTTGAGAGGGCTATCAAATATCACTTTAAAACAGATGAATCACTCTAAGTTTTACCTTGCGTTTCCTTGCAAAATTCATGACATGAGAAGGATACCTGCAGGTCAGAATGGTAAAGAGACAGATGGTCAAGTGGTCAAATCGATCGGTAGATTTCCAGTTAATAAGACAGACAGAAATTGAATTTGTTTACGTTCCAAAGGTGTAGTTTTTTCATAAGGTTTCAGATTTGTGTTATGCTTAGAGAAGAATTTGGTGTGAAATATGCGCCATTTTCTACATTGTCCCACGAGCAAAAATTAATAAGAGAGAGAACAAAGCCATAGGTCCGCGAAGTGTGCTGAGGTTTGCATGATTGTCTTCAAACTCAAAGTTTAATATAACGTGCACATAAAGACTTATTTTCTATAATTCATGACTCGTTTAAGTACGTGAGATTAATTGCGAGCAAATTTAGGATTTAATAGACCGATAAAGCTCCCTCGTTTGCTCCGATTAAATAATTAATACGAGGAACATTGGTTGTCATCATGTCACAAACGGTTCAGATTATATCATCGCCTGGCTCAAATTTTCAGTGTTTTAGATTCGCCGATTCATTGACCTACGGGAAACACGTTTTATGCATGATTCTGCTACATTAAATCTGAAAATTTCAAAGAATATCAGAGATATCAAAAGAAGCAAAATTTAAAATGTAAACTTTTAACAGCTTCCTTCCTCCGACAGACAGTGATGTTATTTGCATATCTAAAATACGATCATTAGCAAGGAATTTCAAATACTAAACGGTGTAAAGACTTAAAAAGCCATGTTTGGAAAGCCTTATCGATTATTATTTTTTTCTCTTTCGTTTAAAATACCAAGAACAAGGAGTTATTGACGTAGAATTTCTGCAAAATCCGCGTACTGAAAATCTTAATGAATTCCTTTTTCCCGGAAAGTTTGATCCAGTGCTACTAATCATTCATACTATGACAGAATCTCATCAGGTTAATTTGAAAGGTCCCATCTAATTAGTTCTAGAATGAACTGTAAACGCTCTCACCCATCTGAGACGTATTTTTATCCACAAGTTTCTGCCAGTATCACTCATTCAAATGTTGTTTGTTAAGTAATGTCTCGGGCTGTGTCAAAATGGATTTGTCCATCCTTGAATATTCAGAGTGGTAAAATATGCCCGGAAGGAGTCGTATTTTTGTCTCGATATCAAGAGGATCTCATTTGAAAACATAAGACAGTCTTTTTGGATATCAGAGTCGATGAAGATTCTTGGTTCCGTTTCAATGAAACATAACAACGATAATTATGTTTCAGTCCACTTTAACCGGTATTGAATAGTAACTAACATTTCCATCGATAAAGATTTTCAATTTAAACTTGAAATCGTCGTGTCTTCACTGCACTAATCACTATCCTTAACCTAATGTCATAAATTCCTGGAAATCAGATCACGTTTACTTGTTATAAAATATTTTTTGCACGCCCTCGTAAACAAGAGAAAAGAAAAGAAATTAGAACAACACCACTTCAGCGTGGAGGAAATGCATTATGCATTGTCCGTGGTTTCCGCCATGTGAAAGCTTTTACATTCCTTAGAGGAATGTTTGCAGACTTGAGCGTAAGCTGCAGTGCAGTCAGTATCAAAACTCAATCGGAATACAAACAAATGGAGTACAAACCTTTGAAGCGGCGGTATTTTTAACTAAGCGATGGCATCGTCGAAGACATGATGACTTTACAGATCCTGCTTGAGATTCTTGAAACAAATCGCCAGCAATAAGGACCAACAGCGGCAATACTACGACAAACATTAAACGGCCGAGCATTGTATTCATTGGATTGCAGTTGTATCAAGAGACGTTGGCATCACATGGCATTCGCAAGGCTGATATAGCACCAAGAAATTTGTGTTTAGACATAGACTCCTTCTTGATAGCACGCCTTTCACTTTACAATCTCGTTTGTTCACTCAGCCGCAACAAATTTTTATTTATGTATGCTGCAGTCATGATAACATCTTCATTATACCTTTGAACGAGGTTTGCATTGTCTCTTTCGGTCTTCTTTAACTCTCCTATTTTAATACTAGGCTATTTTTATCTTCATAGATATTAAATTGCATGAGATCATTTTTTTCGTTTTATTGTTTTTCTAAAATGCAAGAACAAAGTAAAAGCGGACGTCATGTACGAAATATAAACATGAGTGAGCATGGCGTGACAAATCTGAACAAAAATTCAGATGGACCAGCCTTGGAGACAGAAGCATGACTTAGATACGCGTTTGACACCTAAAGATATTAAAAATTATGATAATATTAATGATGTTGGTAAATGTAATTTCTGAAGTTTGAGTGACATGGAAACAAGTTAGTCAGAAATTAATATTCTGATAGCACGTTAAAGAGGTTCGCGTGGCATCATGGAAGTTTCGGATGATTAAAGTGTTTCGCGGGAAAATTTAGTCATTCTAGATCGGTCAGTCTTATGTTTGACCACTTTCCTTCTTTTTTTTTTTTTTTTTTTTTTTTTTTTTTTTTGTATTGATGCAATTTTCGTTTCCAAATCCTTGTAAAATATCAGTACATTCTTTGATTTTTTTTGTGATTAGCAGGGTGGCCATGTTAGTTTACCCTTTCCTCGGGGTATTGTGCTGCTGCATTAGATGAGGAATACGTTTCCACATATTTTTTGACCACTTTTAAAGAATGGTTTTCTTAGTGGTTTTTCGTATCTGGCGCAGCACAGGTTCTTTTAGAACCCTTAGTTTTCAGTGTACACGTGTTAAGATCAAACCAGGATGCGTGTACTACAAGACTGGCTGACTCAACCTAAATAAACTTTTCACAGTGGATGACTCGTCTGAGTGTTGTTAGAATTGAAAACGAGACTTACATTATTACTTATAATAATTATAGTTGTTTTGTGATACTTCTATAACTTCGTGAAAATAGTAGAATCGAGATAAATTTTAAACTCACGATACTACTCACGATAACATTTTTAAAGACATGGTTCGCCATGACCCATACCATCATCCATTTTGTGTGCTGTATACATTCACTTTGTTGTTACACGTTACGCAAAAGAACGTCATCAGTCTAGACAAATAATAGTTAAAAGTTGCAGTACCGACAAGTATTGTCACTCGATTTTAATCATGATTACCATCATTTTCAACATCGTCATTTTTCAAATAAAGTTAGGTCATGGCCCACCTCTATAAAGAGAATTAGTATATACCAAACAAGTAAATAATGCTTTCTGCGCGCGCTGATTGGCTAGTTCGGAAGTGAATAGCAAGTACTATGAACCTTTTAGCAGCCGATGATACAAAATCGTGCGTAAAGAGTTGAATTTCCGACCATTTTTCGGTATAATAAAAGTAATAAACAAGTTTGTTGGTTTCTGTGTGGTAAATACTAAAACAATTGTTCACCTCCACGTTGGTGAACAATTGTTTATTATGTTTCGATCACAGTTTCGGTCCTTGAATAAGAACTCCTTTCTAACAGGTATATACGTATCACGCTAAAGCTGAATATAAAGGATAATGCGACGATGGTCTTTAAGGGGAAGGAGAATTAGAGAAGGCGATAAATGAGGAGTCTTCAAATATTTTCGCTTTTAGCTCTGAATTTCTGTTTCTTTTTTTCGTTTTATTTGTTTGTTTGTTTGTTCGTGTTTTCGCGTGCGGCCCATTAGAAGCTTGCGCGCGAACGAGCCTCATCATGACGTAACATACGATAAAGAATGTGACGTAACAGAAGAACCTCATTTTTCATACCGTTCATGTAGTCAGTGTTCGTTGCTTCTTGATGGGCTGTGTTTTCAGGTGTTGCGCTTGGTGCGGGTGTGTTTCTTCTAGGTACGTTAACAATCTACAACATAACTTTGACAACTTTGAAACGAACGCAAGTAAAATTTCGAAGGAAAATGAGCAGTTACTCTTTCCCAACTACGTGTGTAACGAAAACGAAGAGGGTAGAGCATCGAGCTTTGCAAACTTTTTTTATGATCATCATTGCAAAAAAGGAACAATACTTACGAAACAGTTACGATACAGAAAGATTCTTGTAGGGTTGATGATTTTATTTTAAGACAAAGCACTCTGTACTATTTACAATGCATGGCTTTGAGAGCTATAAGACACATAAAAAAAGTCTGTTATGTTCCACAAATCTTTCCAATTTGTCTTTCCGACTTGTTGCTTCGTGATGCAACCCTTTTAAAAGTGGCTTTGTGCCATGTACGGAATCTTTACGATAGCTTTTTGGTAAGTACAATTGCAGTGATAGTAGAACGAAAAAATGAAAAGGTAGTATCGCTTGTTCCAGACGAATGTACAGTAATGATGGTCAATGATAATGCAATTGTCTTGATCTCTGGCCGATTGAGAGAATTATGATTATCCAAAACTGTCAAACACAAAGACCAATTACTTATAAATCTATTCAATGACCAATTACTTATAAATCTTATCAAAGACCAATTACTTATAAATCTTATCATTGACAAATTTGAGGTTAAGAGAGGGGAGAACTGATTAAAATGTAGAATATTTTTATAAATGGCGCACAAACAGTAAATAGTGACGTGGGATCGTCTACAAATTTGACCCTCATGATACTAAAACAGCCATTGATTATCGGCACTTTGACTATTTTAACTACGATTGTGTTCCAGCTGTGTGTCACTGAGAGAAATGTATCGATATGTTGTCCACTTAGCACCGTGCTGAGTATACTAATTGCATGAGTTCTCTCTCGTGCCAGTCTCTCATCTGTGTGGCAGGGTCTTGAATTTTCGAGTGCAGTGGACATGATATCCAACAAGTTTTATGTTTTGAAATTTGCCATAAATAGCTGCGTTGAGAAACGTCAAAGGTTCGAAAAGCTTCAAAAAGGAACTAAATATTACTAATATTCATAACGGTAACTTGACGCCTCGTTACGCGAAAGTAAAACAAGTCCTCTGTCCATGTTCGGAAATGTTTCTCAGAAAACTTCTTCTCTGATCGGGTCGACGTCGTCTATGGAGGATACTACTGTATCATTACTTTTTGTGCTTTCATGCCTGTTTTTGTTAGGCAACTTGAGAAACTCGATGAGTTTTCTTTTCCAGTGGGGTTTTTCGTGATTACTGCCATAGTCGATAACACTTCTATCTCGCAGATCTTCAGGCAGCGAACTTAAATCTACGTCATCTTTTCTTATAATGACTAAACTGTCGTCATTTTTTCTGAGAAGTCTATGCTTTGCTTGATTCAGTTCAAAATCACAAAAGCCACTTTTCAAAAAGTTCTTCGAGTAAACTGCTACATTTTTGTAACTTTTGTTAACGTGATCCGACATCAGGTTATAGATAATACCACCAGGTATGAAGTCTCTGTAATGAACTCGGCATTTGAACCCATGCTGTTCTTCAATGAGGGGTAGGAGCTCTTTTACCACCCATTCGTCATCGTCACCATTAAAAATTATGAATACGTCACGATTTTCAGGCTCAATATCTGGAAGAAAAGAAAGGAAAATTTGTTAGACACACGTAGGAGGTTTAATCCTAAAGAACTCTGTAAAATTCTCAGACTTAAGAGTAGCTGATGAGCGTAAAAGCTTGAGCAGGCTTCATTCACAGCACAAAAGAGTTTTAATATGGAGGCTAACCATTATGTCATTTCAAAAGCGAGAGTGCTTCAGTAAGAGGACCCCAGACCACCCATTAAAAAAGTCAGCTGGTTAATGGCGTAGTAATTTGGTTTTATCAACTGAGTTAAAAATGTAAACTACCCACCGTTAAGAGTTTCAAAGCTGACGTTTCGGGCATTAGCCCTTTATCAGCGTGAATGGGCAAACCGAGGGCTAGCGCTCAAAACGTCAGCTTTGGGTAATTGGTAATTCATGGGTTTTTTTCTATAGCCATGTCATATTTGTACACCTAGTAATTGGAAGAAACCCTCTTTAAGAGCAAAATATAAGTAGTTGTTGATCAAGTGTTATTTTTTCCCTTCTTCGATCAGGCTCAACTCATAAAGGGCCAAACACTTTAACGAAGAGCTGGCGGTCGAAACGTCAGCTTTGAAACTCTACGTAAAGCCACTTTGCGCCATCAATTCGGTCGATAACACTTAATTCACCTGTTATACTCTCCTACCAACGTAGCACCACAATTTCTTTAAAAAGTTGCCCCCTTAATACGTTCATGACGTTTTCGCTAGGGAATTACAGCTATTTCGTGTAGATCTTTACGGAGGCGGGAAATCGTGCAAAAAAAAATGCCACCCACTATCGAGAAAGGAGCTTCAATTTTTCAAAAGATCGGAATCAGGTTTTTGTGATGTTGATTGTCTATCTCTTCTTTGTTTCCTAAAGCAATTCATATTATGGCTTGAAGAGACACTGAGCAAATTCAAAAGATAGTACGGCCATTGGTATCGTTTTGGTAAAAATAAAATTGCCCCAAAGTTCAAGAAAATCTAACAGTTTCAGTCTACTAAATAGGACAAATTCGAAGTGGTGAAATAAATTTTTATGGATATATATTATCCAAACGTGAATCCAAAGTTTGCCTGAGTCGTTTGCCCTTCTAGGAGATATTAGGAACTTTTGGCAGTTAGGACGGCAAAACCAAGGAAGACGTCGAATCAAAAATTAATACATATTTTAGTTGGAATTTCGCGACTGACTGGATGTGTGTACCATCTTTTATGGCGCCGCAAGTTAACCTCAGCATAGCGTATGAGAGCGCCGTTGAGTTCCAAATGGAAACTTAAATAATTTGCCGTCGGGGTTTCCTTTCTCGGACTACGCAAATTTTGATGATTTCACGTTGTTATTTTTCAGAGGATGGTTAAGAAATGTACACAGTTTTAAAACGCACGCGCTGAGCTATTGTTCTGCTAATTAGATCTCTGGTTTTGCCACGTCCTCGTTGCTATCGCCATCGTGGTTTGCTAAAGCTCCCTACTATTAGTATTCTCAAGAGAATATAATAAAGTTCTTTTTTTGAAATAAAAATACAAACCACCAGGTGGACGATCATAGTTAAATCCCTCGCGTTTTACACAGATTCTAATAAACTTTTTATGGAAAACACCAGCCAATACTACAGCCAAGACACCAGCTACAGCACCGACGGAAATGGACACATATTTCATGGGTTTGTCAGAGCCTGGGAAAAAAATTATTTCATTATTAAATCAATTTCAACACTAGTTAATAAAAGGAATAACAAATTTTAAAAAATTCTCGGGACTGCCTTAAAGTGTTTTTGAGAAGTTTTTGTGTAGCCCTATTATGATAGAGTATTTTCTTGTCATATGAAAACGGATAGTTTTTCAAAGTTCTTGGGAATATTTGACGATTTTTTTTTTGTTTATTAGTGTCTGAAAAATGAAGGTAAGTTTGGTTCGGGGCAGGGGTGATAGATAGATGATCACAACTCCCCATGAATGTGGAGAATATATCATCTGCAGATAATTTCCTGAACCCCTGCATGCACTCAACTCAGGGGGATTTTGCTTGTGTCACCACAAAATTTACCTGATACCCCATATTATTTTTTTCTCAGTCCGTGAGCGGGCGGTATTCTACAAATCCTGCAATCTGATTGGTTCCGAGAGCGGGCAGTGTTCTCCCCATCCGGCCCGCTCACAGCGGGCGGTTCTTATCGCAACCATTTGTTAGGTTTAAGAAAAAATTAAAATGTTATTCACGAGCCAAGGTCGGTCCGTATTGGGGAAAACTGTGCCCTACGAGGCCGGTATCCAAGACCTCGGGCACAGTTTTTCCCAATACGGACCTCCCGTCTGATAAATAACATATATATATTCTCTTAGCCCCCCCTCTTTGGCAGTTAGTAAGAAGTCAATTCTAATCGTACCCTCTTTATACTCTGTTGGCGTCGACTGACCCTCCCCCCACCTCTGTACCCCCTAAAAACCATGATGTATGATGTACTCCTTCCCCAAAATCCTCCAAACTCCTCCCCCCTCCAACCACAGTCGGTAAAGAAAAATTGGTTCTTTTGGAAGTTATTAGTAATAATTCGCACAAAGGCCAAGCTCTACACTAACAGAGTTCCGGAGCACAAACGAGGAAGAGGTACGAAGCAATGCAAAAGGTGGACGAAACTAACGATAATCTTTGTTTTAAAAGGGTCAGCACCTCACCTTTCGTCGTTGTCCTTGCTTTTGATGTTTCTGTGGCTATGGATGCTTTTGCAGCTGTCGATGATTTCGTTGTTACCCTAACTGATGTCATAGTTTGTGATGGTGGTGGTGATGTTGAAGCTAAAATGTAAATTTAAGATGGATCTAAAGATCAAGTGAACGCTGAAAGTGCCTTCTTGAGGCCAAGTGTGTAATCATCAGAAATGAATATCCTACATGTATGTGATTTATGGTGTTAAAATAGAAAACGGCTTTACTCAACTAAAAGGAAATAGGAAATTCTGAAATGGGGATGCCATCCCCCTCCACTTATTGGGTTAAATTGTCAGGAGGTTAAGACCATCTCAAAATTTCACCGTGAAGTCTGACATAATCCGAAAGTCTGAGGTCCGATTCCTCATGGAGAATTTTTTTCTTTGTCCCACGTTCGAAGGAAGAGCTTATCACCAGTTAAAATTTACCAAATTTTATGCTCTATGTAGAGGGTCTTAATAGGGTTAACCGTTAGCCGTAAAACAGCCAAAAACATTTAGCCGTTAGGCGTAAAATTGGGAGATTTTAAACGTGAATCGTGAAAAAAGCTAACCGTAAAAACTGTTCCTTGTAGAGCGTGTTAGTTTTGTATCATTTTTGGGTAAACCGTTAGCTGTAAATAGCCAAAATTGTAACGGTTAGCCGTAAATCATTCCATTGAGACTTTATATTCAGTTATTGCTCTTTATTTTAATCTAATAGAACCTACTTTTATCTTCAGAGAATGACAGCATCCCAGTGACAGTCCTATTATAGGGGATGCTTACAACCTTCAAGTAGAAAAAATTAGGGAATTTAAATGAATGAATAAAATATCGAAGGCACTGGGGAGTTGACGAACGAGCGGACCAACGAACGGATGGACGAAAAGATGAACAAATTTAATTCGTAAATGAAAAATTGAATGGGATAAAGAATGGACGGATGAGTGAATGCATGCAAGCATTTCTGCATGCACGTAGATATACAAGCATCCTTGCATGCATGCAAGAAGGGTTAGATGGATCAGTATATTATAAATAAGTCAGTGAAATGACATATTTTAGTGCATTTAGAAATATGAGAGCAAAAGACGACACTAAAACAAAAAGAGTAAAACATCAGGAAATCTGCATTTCACTCCTTGAACTTACCACTAGGTGAATATTTTCGCCCTGAATATAGCCATAACTAGATATGTTTATTCTGAAAGACGTTTGGTTCTAAAAACATGATAGGAGGAGAAAAGTACAACGTAAGTCCATGAAATTTGCCTTAATCAAAGCTTGATCATTTCCTGATACTATGCCTCTGGATATGACAGCTGGTGGAGAGAATTACGAATGGGGGTTGAAAGGAAAAGTATGCCAAAAATACCATGCACGCAATTATTAAAAAAGTGTCATTAAGTGAACAAAAAACTCGCACGCTGCTGTTTTTAAATCTTGCTTATTGGCCTGGTCGCTCATCTGTGACGTAAAAAAGTCTTGCGCCCCCCACCCCCCCCCCCCCCTTTCACTTCTCCCCTTTTTCTTTCCTATTCTCCATGTAATATATCTCTAGAGTTTGGAGCTACAAAAGAGGCATTCTTGATACCAGTAAGAGCAAATGATGATTTCTTTTTGTGTGTAAATTGCGTATATAGCAGGCTGTAATCGTTAGTCTTATTAGCATTTTTAGCATTTTTTCGCCCCCAGAAAGTTTGTGGCCTTGAGCAAGAGGTCTGCTAAGGCTCTAACGCCGATAATGAGGTGCCGAACCCTTTTCAGGACTCTCGCTGGCTGACTTTGATCAAGGCCTCAACCTCTCTGTCGCAATGCATTTAATGAGTGTCTGCTTACACAATGCGAACTGCAACTGTGGTATTGCGTTCGCATCCAGGTTGTTCAATTATATTGAAATAAAGGCGTTCGCAGTCGATGTTCATCCCAATTGAAGACAGTTTTCGAAAGATTACGTTACTCTTTGGTATCTCAAATTGCGGAGGGCGACTGATGTTTTATGTACAATAGTTAAATTGTGGATATAAATCTTGAGGCTTCTCAAGCTGATAGTCTCCATTCAGTCTTTACTGGAATAGCCACGAAACGTATGAGGGTATACACTTATTTTACCTGTTTACACAATACCAGTCGACCAGATCAATCAAATATCTTATGGATAGAGCTAGCAATGAGACCTCTCTTCTTACCTTCGGCACGTTAGCACAAAGTATATCAATGTCATACAAGTAGCGAACAGAATAGCCTTTTAAAAAACCAGCCGGATCTATGAATTTAACAAAAATATTAGAGAGAATATAAGACTTTAGAACAAGTGCGGCAATTATTCCGACAACGAATATTTTCATGAAGTTTAGAGCGGAATTGTGAGAAATATATCATTCAAAGGATATATCTGTTTCGGATTGAAAAGTCTCAGAGGCCATGATATGAATAGGTTCAAGCGAACTTTTGTGCCTTGTAATAAATTGCAGACGTATAACTATAGATTTTCTCTATTGAAGTAAATCATACTCGTAGTTTTCAGATAATTTTCAATCGGTCTTCAAATACCACATTTTCCCTACGCTTTTGCGCACTATAATACGTTTAACTCCAAGAAATGAGAGAGCTTTAAGAAACGCATCGTACTTACACCAGTCATCAAAACACTGTTCAGCCATTGCTATTCAGAAGCAGGTTCTAGCCCACCGTTTTAATGAAACACTCAATTTTGTCAACAGCGTTGTGAGGTCTTATAGCTAACTCAGTGAAAATATTTATCTTCTGGCGAAAACTTCACTTTTTGCCAGCGATCTCCTGGTTCAATGACTGTTTTAAAAAAGCCACTAACAAAGTTACACTGCTTCGCTTGTGGAATAAGTGGATCTCTGTGTTCAGGGGCAAAGGCTAATAACGCCTTTTCTTTCTTTTTTCCTCTTTTTTTGCTTTTTTGTTTATTTGCTTTTGCTAGTTTTTTTTTCTACTCCTTTATTACTGCTGTTTGCGTTGTTTGGAATAATAAAGGACAGGCAATAAGCCAGTAACGCACCATTGATTGGACTCCAAGATACGTAGGCATACCAGTCGTCTGTGTTATCATACTGTCCGAATTTTACGGAGACATTGGATGCAAGCTGTATTTCAGGTACGGGTGAATTGTCATCAGCCCTGCTCGCACAGTCTAAAATAAAGGATAACCTTAAGCTACAAAAAAACAACTGTCTTAGTGGTGTATATTGAGGATCATGATACATTAAAGAGCGATGCGGATAGGAAAAATTTTTGTTCACCATTTAAGGCAAACGGCCGGGCTCCTGTGAGGGCGATGAAATGCCTGCCGAACAATCTTGTTCGAAAGTATTAAAATAAATCACCAACTCTAGCCAATCAGAGTTGACAAAAGAATCGGCAAAAAGGGTTAGCCAATAAAAAGTCAGTGGACATTTTCTTACAAAAGAGTGACGTCACGGAACACGATTAGTGTCAGGTTTGCGTAAACGTTCCCTCGCCTCCGTTTTACCCTGGGGGAGGGGGAGGATACGGTTACACGTAAGCTACTCGTGGCCTGCTGGGAGCCTCCTGGCAACCTCTGGATTTTACCCGGTTTAAATAGCCTGCGACTAAGAAAAAACTCTTTCATCCTGAGCCAAGTTAATCGAAATAAGACTTGCGCTGGATTTAATTCTCTAAAAAGCTCTTTCCAGAGATCTTTTTCGCCAAACAGAAAACAGTTTATTCTTGGGCTAAGGTTGAAGAAAACCAAGTGATACTTTTCCTGCCTTAGCGGAATTTAAAAATTTGGCATGGTGATATTTTCCAGAATTTTTATGACAAACTGTTCAAGTTTCCCGCTCCAAAACGATGCCCATGTTCCAGCCGAAAACTTGTTAAACAAAATCAGATATACTTACCATAACTAAGAGATTGCCTCCGACGTCTTACAAAGGCAGTGATAGCATGTCGATAGAGGTCTGAAAAGAGAGAAGAAACGGATTTTAATCCAAAAATTACATTTCCTTTGAATATACGTAATACTTTTGCTTCTTTCACTGGAAAATTTAGACTGACTTTTTTATGGCTCAGGAATAACAGTGAGTTATAACTGATTTCCAAAGACAGCAGATTTAACTGAATGTATAGTTTTCTTATCTGTTTCAATCCAGTCTCGAATACTTTCAATTTTAATCATCCACGTCAATTTGGTACATTATTCTCTTCATTACTCTTCGCTCTCTTCAGTGATAATCATCGTTCCCTTGTTGGCTTAGAACCAAAGATAGCTCAAAGATAGTTTTATTTCCGAGCGCTAAAAATAGTCCCATGTGAGAGGCAAAAACATTGTCTTATTGTGATCTCTATTCAACTTTATAAGTATTATTTACCTCTCCTCCTTCTTAAACACTGATCGCAGGAGAGAGATGAGCTGGCCTGAAAAAATGCAAAACATAAAGGTAAAAACATGATCTCTGTTTAAAGGACTGTGCGTAGGTCAAAGCTTTAAAATTGTAATCAAGATGTTTGTGGCTCTCGACTTCAAATTGGCAGACCAACAGTATTCTTCTGCCTCAACATCGAAAGCGCTTTGAGTACTTGGAGGAAGACGCTAATGAATTTGAAATATCGCATTCAATTTTTCTATTTGCATTTACATCAATAAATTAGATCTTCTTCCCCTGCATTTCATGGATTTACTCTAAAGTGTGTTTGTTTAGCTCCATCCTGATGGATGGAGAAAGCTTTAATACATTCAGAATTGATCGAAACTGAAAAATGAGACGATCTTGGAGTTTTGACGCAGGCTAATGTTATCATTTCGATAAAAAAAAAAGGAAAGCACTGATCAGGGCTTTCAATTCAACAGTTGCAAATTAAGCAGAAAACGCAAAAATAGCCGTTCCAAATTGGCACAAATAAAAGCCTAGTATCCATTTCCGCGTGAATAGTGCCTGGGCCTCAAATTGCTTTCATTCCTTTCATGATCTTCAATGTTCCTCTAGTTTATGCTCATTTCGTTTCAAAAGGTGTGGTTCCATTCAAATAACAGCATTAAACATGACTCTATACATATCTATTCTTATTGGGTGGATAATCTGTCGGTATCTTAGGTAACGAGAGGTTAGATCTCAACCACTTATTGAAGTGATAGGGTTAACCACTACTTAGGGAGAGTGGAAAACATGTTTTGCTGGTGTGAATGGGGCCTAAATTTATTTCAGATCTATGACCTGTTGGAGCACTAATCTTTGTGGTTCGTTCATTCTATCGAAGAAGCAATTCCCATAACTTGTGGATAAACGAAAACAAGTTATACTTTTGTAATCAAAATTTACGAAGTAGACCTCATACTCATGGTTTTAACGCATATTAGATGAGATAAAGAAATGACTGCTTTTGAATATGTTAACTTTTAATTGTATATAAAAGAATCGACTGATAAAGAAAATTATTGCATGTTGTCGACCACAATTATTTACCTGTCACGTTCCACACGTTGTTAAAATTCTCTCTTCTTTGTTCTTAACGAGTGGTTATCATTATCATTCGTACTCGAGGCAGCCCGAGGTGAAAAAAAAATGTATTTTAACGAACAGTAGACAAAAGACTGAAAACACAATTCATTAACACGCAAAAGTAAATACAGATAGCAAGATAACAAACTCTTGTTGGCTCAACACATTTGTTTTCGAACCTCAGAGCGCGTGACCTTCACGAAGAATACACATGATCGAAACTTGTCTGTCCTGATCTACGACAAATTTTCCTTTGTGCGTGCCATGCCAGAACCTGCGAAAATTGGCTTGAACCGGAATCGTTTAAGTCTCTGCTCCAAACCTAATGTATTGTTGATAATTGCAATATATTGATTTCGGTAGACTTTCTCGGTGTTTATCGCCTGGTAATGTTTTTATTTATGATATCGTAATTATTTTCTTTTTCTTTAAATTTCAACGTGAATTCTAATAATAATCAAGAAAAGTGAAGTAAAGAAAGTTTTATAACACACTTCATAAATTCAGCCATTCCCAGCAATTTTCACAGGTGTAGGATGTTTTCCAAGCTAATGGCATGGAGGGAACAAAACAATGCCATGTAGGAGGAAATTTTATGTTCAAACGTTAATTAATTCTCTTTCGTTTTCTGTCTTTCCCGTGCAAACAAACAGTAAGATCTTAAAAATTCCGGTTTGCTTCCTTTAATGTAAATGATCACCAATTCTGGAAATCCTGTCCTGATTGTAAACAATCTACCCTAAGACCCCGACACTGAACGATATTTCAGTATTGCTAACTTCATGAAAATGGGTTACGCGGCAAACTTCGTTTCGCAATTCCTTAGCCTTGCTGTATTTTCAAGTTTAGTAAAATTTCACAATAGGCTCATAATTGTCTCGAGGGCAAACTAGAAACTAAACGTTCTATGATAAACATACTCTGCGGTAAACAAAGGTCGATGACAACTATAAATGCACGAAAGAACACGAATAAAACATTGCCGCTAATTTGCAAACATTGTTGATGCAACAATTTCTGAGGTACTGAAGTTTTTGGGCCAACTCAAAAGAAAACTCGAAGGAGCGGGAGACAGGATAAATTCATGTTCACATCTTGATTTCACGTCCAACAGGGTTAAGTTTGTTCGACTGCTAATTGAATATACCTCAGTGCTTCGCAAATCAGTATGACTTGAGCAAATTATATTCCCTGTTTGAGATAATATATTTTTTAAATTGAAGCAATCACTCAACGAAAATAGTGCTCCATGTGACAAAGCGAAAAGAGAGGTATTTCAGAGTAAAATCATCTGGCCAAAGCACAAAAAGGGATTGAAAAACTCAATACGACGTGATCGTGCATTAAAGCATCAATCATTTGATGCTACATTAACTTCATTGACCTATAATATGTATGATCAAGCAAACCATGTTAAATCTTTATTAACGAATTTGCATGGAAGATTATTAGCTCCATTTCTGTTTGCACTATCATATCTGGCAAACTAATTCAGAAATTGGTGAAATTGATGACATTTCTTTTTAACCGCACTTTGAGCTGAATAAAGCAAAGGCCTTCGGTACGAAATTTTCTTCGGTTGATCTCTGCAGTCGAATTCTTCAAGGCAATACTCCTGGATGTTTTGGTATCATTAACGGTAATTGTCGTCAAATATCACATGCACAGAATTTACTTTGTTAATTTTTTTGTTTGTATACAAATATCAGAAATTCGCGGCAGCCACAACTCTGCCTTGAACGCTTCAAGTGAATTTTGCGATTAAAACCTCTATACTTTCAAAACGCTACGTTCTCAGCCAACGGCCGATTTCACCATAACATGGAAATTTCGATGTAAATGGAAGAGAAAGAGACAACTTACCCGAGCTCTCTTGGTCAAAGATTTCCGCTCGTCCCAGCCGCAGGCTCGTAGGCACCCTGCTATGTTGTGTTCATCTTGTTCTAAACATTCTGTCAACGTTCCAGTGATAATAAGTGCCCCTACTGCAGCTATGATGATTCTCGCATTCATGGGGTCTATTGTTACTCTCAAATCAATTGCCACAGCTAAAAGGCACGTTCATCAAGAATCGGCGCTCGTTGTCTTGGGTAGAGAACTCTAAATAGCACCATAACCAAGGTCGACTGGAATCAACTGACTATCATTGTTTTGTGATGCAGATTTAACTGCACTAAGACATGCTATCTAAGTTAGTATAATTTCACACCTGGATAATTAATTAAGATGTCACATTTCATTCCCAAGATCGATGAATAAATTATCCTTGTCAATATTTCAAAGAAAATTTCTTTTTTTTGAAATTTCAGGAAAATTTCTCAGAGGTCGTTATCGGTTATTGAAATCGTTTCCTGGATGTTTTGGTATCATGTTTTGGAAGAGTGCCTAATAAGGAGAATGTTGCCAAAATTTATAACCGTAAAAAACCCACAGCAGATTAAAAGCTCAGGCAACTACAACACAACCCGCAGCAATGAACTATACTTGCAATTAATCCTTAATTCATCACTTGCTTGTGAGACGAGGCAAACTCTCGCTTTTTTTAACTGGATCTGTGCTGTTCTCTTCTGCTTCCGAATGAACTTCTTCGTTTTTCAAGTAAATACTCCTACTAAACCTTAATGATTCCATACGAAACGTTTTTATTTATTTACCTCTATAGTTATCTATTAATTAATTCTATCATCTAATCGTCAGATGCTCATTAGGTTTCAAATCTGAAGAACTATAATTTGCTCCATCGACCGGACTTTGTATATCTGCTAAGCTTACTAATTTTAGCGCATATATTGAACCAGCTTCAAAGTCTTGGTAACGGATGCGATACCAATTAAACGAAATCGAGCTTCAAGCATCCAGTTTTCATCAGATTGCGTTTGGAGTCTCGTCTCCAAATTTTGAGAACAATGAAAGATAAAAATTACATTATCACTGTATTTTTTTTTCCTTTAACGGAGTAATGAGGGCGGATTAGATCCACGGAAAGCCATATGCACTCAAAAATTAATTCATATTCCCGAGCGATCAAGTAACACCTTAAGCTAAAATTATGCATGTTAAGAAAACAGTGAAGCCAAGCATTCAGAGCAGGCGGTGTGCGTAGTCCGATTGCGTTGCATTGTGGTAGCTTCATTTTCAATATGGCGGTCAAAGCTGCAGAATTCGGCAGATTTTGACGGAACATTCCGTAAAAGTTAGGCCGTTCCTTTTCCCTTTCACCATAGATAAATGTAATTTGATTTATTCTGAATTTGTAAAAGTATTTTTCGTAAGTATTTGTCGCGTATTCTATGGTTCTGAAGGACAAACGCAATCACTGTTTTTTTTTGGTATGTAATTTGAGACCATATTTCGAGAAGGTCAAATTTGATGTACGTCGCAGTTTGGAGCCTTTCAAAGATTTGGGTGGCCGCTTTGATCCTTCTTTAACAGCTCTGACCAAACGCTCTCAAACGCTCTCCGACGGTATATGTGTTTCTCGCATTTTAAGTGCTGGTGTTTGAGACCGATTATGGCCGAGAAAAGGCCTATTGTTGCGTTACACAGCGCTACTATTGTATACTCAATTGAGTTGTAAATTTACTTTCCTAAGAAAAAGCAAATTAACTTATCGCGAGTGTTGTATGGTAAATAAACTATCTTGATCATTGAAAGAAGAACAGTTGAATTGGAGCAATGAAAGGAGTCACTAGACCAATTAATAACTCTACAATGCGCATGGCGACACGCCGGGTAAGCCGGAAAGCAAAAGGGAGTCGATCGTTAAAAGGTGTTGATAGGCCTATGCGACTCTCGCCATTCGCTTGCGCTTTTAAATCTTCTAACCTGAAAGCTTAGATGTTATTTGGATATTCATCAGTGACTTTCGTTAGCAATACGATAGCAAGGGTTAGTTTTAAGGTGTCATTTCCCCGTCTGTATGTTTTTAAGGTTTGGCAAAGCCTGATGGGATTGTGTTACAAAAGGTAATAATTTCATGTATACGCACTATTTTTTGTTGTTTTTAAGTATCAGTCTCTCCCGCAGAGAACAACTCCAGAGATACGTTTCTCAAAACCTTATTCTAGGTATTCTCTATTCTTTAAGCATATTTGAAACTCTGTACGTTTTTTATTAAACGTTGAGCGTGACGAATTTGGTCTTAGGAGGCGTAAGGCTTCTCCTCTCACGAATCCCGTATTTACGCCTTTAAGTGTATGACGTAAAAATAGTTCGTGTATTAGAGGATCGCTGCCTCTTTGGAATACGTTTGCATGTCAAAGGTCGATTCCCTGTTAAATAACTCGCGAATTTGATATTATCCACATAGCCATCGGCTGTGAGTGTAACTGCCGCCAAATGAATAGATAAACAAGAAAGGCTGCAGTTTCGATTCTCTTTTAATCTCTTCAGTTTTCTTTTACGACGACGAAATTTGTGACGAAGGAATAATAGGAGTCGCACACGCTCGCAAACACTTTTTAACTTTCGAAGGAACGGCAACAGCCAGTGAATTCTATTACATTCCACGTTTACTCACACTGTCTTGCTGCCACCAGAAATGTTCACTCGACCGCGAAAGGACGCAAATGATTCACTTTTCGCTTTACGACCATGATGCAACGCAATCAGAATGCGCACACCGCCTGTATTCAGAGTAGGGATTAAAAGACCATATCCCGGCAGTGAAAACTCGACAAGGCCCAACGAACGAAGAGAAGGCCAAAATCGAACCAGGCTCAAAGAAGGAGAACCTACAACAGAACTGATTTGTTTACGTCTGGTCTATGACTTATAGCAAGCTAATAAGATAAATACCTTGACATCTAGGGCTCTCCCCGTGTGGAACAGAGAACTTTCTACATAAGACAGCAGCTACTATAATCATGCACACGACACCTGCCGTCGACCAACGGAAATAAGCACATACCTCATGGTTTTGTTATAACCTGGATAAATACGAATTATGTATAGATAGATGTCAATAATTTTGTCATGAGTAGAAAACAAAGTAAAAAATCTGAGTCCCTAGAAAAGAAGCGGGTCCTAGACCGGAATCCGCTCTCCGATGCTCCACCACTGAGCCTAAGAGAAACTCTGTTGTGAGTTAGGCCATCACGGGGTACATACCTGAGTTGTGACCAGCATCCTGATGGGATCGGCGTTAGCTTTGTTCTCAATATCCAGAATATTTACTTTCCAACATGTATTTATAAACATTGCAAGGGAAACTTCATTGGACACATTGGAGGGCTGGAAATAAATTTTTGGAGAAGCTATCAGTTAAGGTAAAGAACACACTCAATCGTATCTGTCAAACAGTGTGCACAGAACACATTCCAAAACTGTCAAGATTTGAACAAATCTTCGTAGCTTCTCTGCATTTTAATTCAAAGTTGTGTAGTGTACGACTCCTAAATTTGCTTAATCTAGAGTTAATCCAGTTTCAGAGCTTTATTCTTTCTTTACAGATAGACAAACTGCATTATGTTTTCATGATATAGGTAACTGCTATCACGGTCAGTTAGCTATTAGAGGACTTAAGACCCTAACTAAAAGATCTAGTAATCAGTTGGAGATTCATGTTGAATTTGTTTTGAAGAATTTTAAGACTTTACCGATAAGGGAAGATAACCAAAACCCTTGCTAAACCGTCATGGTTTAGATTCAGATCAAGAAGACCAACGGATATAAAGTCGATTTTGCTATACCACTCTGAGTGGCGCAGGGCGACGAGAAGGACACGAGATATCTAGTCGCCCTCTCATTAGGTCTTTCTACAGGGGTATCATTCACAACACCCTTAGCCTTGAACTATTTAAAGTAGAAGTGTCTGTTTGAAAAAGTAACTCTTGCTGTGAATGAGATCAAAATTCTAAATCAGAAATGAATTCCACATCTCTGGGATTTACCATAGTCCAAAAGGGGTAGCCAAATTATAGAGCTTAATTTTTGTACGCTGCTTGTTATGAATATTTCATAATATAATGATATTGTTGCTAACAATCGATGTAAAGGAATATGATAAAAATGATGAAAAAAATACTACCGCGACTTAAGAATAAGCTCCTCTATTGTTTTGCTCTCATGCAAACTAAATGACTCAAAAAAATTTCGAAACGCCTCTGAATATTTATTTGATGGCAACCATTTTAAAGAGATCCTTCACAGTAGATGTCGATGCAACTTTGTTCCATCCAAATTCCCCAAAGGGAAACTCACGATTAGATACGTACAAGAAGGTAAGAAGATTCACCAGCTCTTCCAAGATTTATACAAGGTAACTCAATAGACTATCAATATTTGAATTGCACTTATTCAAAGCGTCGAGGTTAGTTTTTTTTTTCCTCAATTGCCCAATTTATTTTAACATGTTAATGATTAAGCTCAACACATTTAATATTTAATGTAGATGGCAGTTTCATCCTTTCGACAATACAACTATAGGTTATGGAAGTTATGTCTCTGCGATAGGTAACCTAAAATGGAAGCTACTGAGCTCTAAAATTTTCAGCATAATCAGAAATTTTAACCAAGAATTCCAAGTTGGCTAGACAGTGTTTTCCTTAACTGATGGTATTAGTCTGGAAAGATCGCGTTGAAAGACTGATTGTATTGCAAGAAATTGGATCACTTTTGGCTAGGATACATGATACCTTAGTCAATGAATGAGTAGTTAGCTATCGCTGAAGGGAAATATCTTTTGTCCACTACTGGTTAAAAAACCTGGTCAACATTGCAAAATTGCCTTCTGCGAAATAAACTATCTCTGTGTTTTATACGTGTTTTGAACAATAAACACTGACAACGGCAATAATTAAGAAAGCTAGTAGGCGTACGCCATTGAGAAAACAGAGAAAAGAAATGTAACAGGTTTATGGCAAATCAGTTGAGTTGAAGAAAATTACAAGAATGTTGAAAAACTTTGTAAAACTACGCGCTAATATGCCTAATAATGGGTGATCAAAGTCAAATAACCATGCCACTCTCAGCGATGCAATGTCACCCACACACTGCAAGCCGCCACTACATTGATTTCAAAGTCGAAATCTTCAATCTGTCGCAATAGAAATGTAGAGGTTGCTTCTGCTTACAGAAAAAAAATACGAATTAAATTTTTCAATTAATTTGATTACTTATATGTACAAAGGATTGTTTTATGATGTCATGAGGCCACGACAAGTTCAAATATTTAAGCTACACCTTGCAATGAAATTTTAAAAAAAACATTCTTTGAAAATTTTGTGCTGCACGATTTGTGTGTAATTTCACAGTCACTTGAACAACTACATTTAAATTTACAACTGTAATAACATTAATTCTCCATCTTATAAAAGTCTATTTCACAACTTCAACCGATGGGTCGCTCCTTCTAGTACTCCTGAACGAAGCCTGTCGACAACTTCTTCAAAGAAGAAACATGGATGAATGTTATAAGTGGATGTAGGTCTGTCTTGCACACATTCAGAAGAGTAATGCCTTTGAATAACGTGCATCTTTCTTTCAGAAGAAATAGAAACTCGTTGAAGAATGTCTTCACAATTCGGGCACGGTGGATTCATAATTTCAAGTTCTTCCTAGATCTCGATTTGTCGATGCCATGAAAAAAACAACGAAGACCGTAGTTTCGTTCGGCTAAAACGCAGTTTCTTTGGTTGAAAGTGCGGCCACAGCCTCGTTCGGATATAACGCACTGTCATTGGTTGAAAAAAGCGGCCGCGTGCTTTGTTGGAGTTAGAGCATAGGACTTAGCTAAAGCTGTCACGCCATCTGCCAAATTGAAGGGCTAACGCTCGAAACGTCAGCCTTTTTAACTCTTTACGGTGGCCAATTTACGTCATTAAGTCAGTTGATAACACTAAATTACCCTGTTATATTCTCCCACCGAAGCTATCGGATGAACTAATAAGCGCAGAGAACGAGTGATTTTTTTGGTGCATCGCGAGGAGTAATTAGCAAGGAGCACTTTCCATGGTATGATGTTTTTATTTCATACATATTGAGATTTTTTCTCTTTGACCGACACATTTAAAGGTTGGAAGCTATTTTTTGCCTCCACTTTATAGTACCATCGTTCGTGTCTCTGATTGGTCGAACGTTGTATTTTTACAGCCCGACTTCGTTCGGTATGAACGAAATAAAACTATTCTCTTCGTAGCATAGAGTTACAACGTGAAATCTTGATCCTTTCAAAGCTAGAGGGTTGTTGTGTACATTCTCTTTTTATAAGAATGTCTTATTTTAGGGGCTGAGGCTAAACGTTCTCATCTTACTTTATGCGATTTGAGCCTAAAAACGTTCTTAAACTTGTGTGGTATAGTATTTCAAGAGGTAATTTAGTGTCAACAACTGAGTCGAAAACGTAAATTAACCACCGTAAAGAGTTTAAAGGCTGCCTTTTTTAGCGTTAGCCCTTCGTCAGAGCGATTGCAGTATTTCAATAAATCGATCAAGTTCGACTGCAAACTCAGTTGATCTTCAGTGTATCGCGTAATAAGAATACAACATTCATTTGTTAATATAAAAAAACTCCCAAAGTATTTGGGTTCATTGTTCTGTTAGACCACATTTATTTATACTTGTCACAAAAATGTGACTTTCAGCCTTGGTATGTTCCGGCTTAGTATGTTCGCAAAATTTTGGTTAATCTCAGCCTGAACGTTCTTATGAAAAAGGTTCTTGTATTAAAAAAGAAGGAGTGAAAAGCCATAATTGAGAGCATGTAGATTCCAGTGGCACATTTTGCAATATTTGAACAACTTGACTCAACATATTACAGCGCCTCGAATATGTATGCCCAATAATTAATTTATAATCATAAATTTGCTGTGTTCGGGAACTGACAGCAGGCTGACGACCAAAGCGAGCCCTCATTGGAATGCTCATTTCCACTGAGTTATGAAGATTATTTAGGGAATTATGCTATATGCTTTTTGGCAACCTAAGATCCCCAGACATATACCAACTTAAAATCCAACTCTACGACCTTTTTGGAATTTTCTGAAATACTTAAACAGAACTAAACAGCTTTTAAACCAGTTAAAGATATAGATAAAAGTTTCATGAAATTTCCATGGAGCGCTTTAAACTGGTTTAGAAATACCTCTTACTATAGCTTAATCCGGGAGCCGCACTGTAAGTTACGGACCGAGTTTTTTTCCGTAATTTATAATGCGGCCCGAGAAAAACGAGGCTAGGATAGTTAGGATAGAAGATAGTTATTATATTTCAATTCAAATAGAAGGGAAAAATATTTTAATTCAAGCGGAACGGCCGTGATGATTTACGCCCGTCAAATCTTAAGAACGAGAGCATTTTATTGGCTTCATCATAAATAATCATAAAGCTTTCCCGTAAAGCTATTTGCAAACATCTGTATTCTCATCAGCTTCAAGCTGGATAGTTTATTGATATTTTAGGAAGTTAAAACGCAGAATTAATTCTTGGAGTGAAAGGGTTAACCACAAGTGAACCAGAGCGAGGTCTTGTCTTAATCTCCAGTAGCTCGTGTTAACTTAGCTATCAAAAGCCCTTTTTGGTAGGTTGAGGAAATAACCTCGACGACTCAAATAACGAAAGCACGTTCGCTACGGTTTCAAATTAGTGGCAAAAACATCGTCTTGCTACAAAAGAATAATTTGTTACTGACTTTCTCAGGTATAGATCTAGAATGACGTAATCAGTAAAAGCATATCATGCGTGAGAGACGTGTTACAACTTGCCTCGCTGTATATTTGACAAAGATTCAAAGTTTAGTTCTGATTAATGACTCATTGGAAAGTAATCATTGTTCCTTCGTTTGTTGTGCTTTGTCCAGATGATCTAATTCTGAAAAACCTCAACTTGTTGTGTTTTTGTTTGTTTTTCGCTTTGTCACTTGTTCTGCAATTTTTTTTGTGATTACTTTATGTCAGAAAAACAAATTTCCAGACATTAATCAAAATTGAATCTATCCATATAAACGTATGAAATAAGATGTATTCAAATGACAATCAAAGTACGCGATAAAATACGGTCGACTTCCGCAATTGAATATTTCATAGCGAAAATTTTGGGTATTTTGGTATAAGCAATGGTAATGAGCCCAGAATTTACTTTATTATATTGCTATTTAAACTCGTTGTTTATGTTCAAATATAAGAAATTTGAGGCGACTACAACTCTGCCTCGAACACTTGGATTTTCGCGCTCAAACGTAGTTACTTTCAAAATGCAATGTTCTCAGCGAATGGCTGAGATGCATCCACAACAAAAAGTTCGATATAAAAATAACAAAAAGTGATAACCAACCTAACCTGCCTGGTTTTTTGTTCGTCCAAGCCACAAGCTCAAAGGAACCCTACTGCCTTGTAAAGTAATGGGTTCGTGCGAAGATTTTAGTCACTGTCAAAACACTCGTTACAATATCAGGGTACGTTCATCAAGCACGTCTTGAATAGTAAAGTTGTTGTTAAGTTTGGCAGAAGTCTAATTTTATACCTTGATGCAAATTTTACCGCCCCAAGCGATTCTTTTAGTCTCAATTCTCTAACCCCTTAATTCTTTTAATTCTTGCATCTTGTTTCCGACACCCGACTTTGTTTTTCACTCCACCCTCAACAACTATCGTCCCACGGGATACTGGTGAGAGGAATGTTTTTCTAAGGAAACTTCAAGACAGGGTGAAAATTCAATAAAACGTGAACATCTCTCTGTTGTTTGCCAGGGAGACGAAACCCATTCTCAACTTATTCTGGACGATACCAAACTCAGCTGACTTTCAGGGCAGAGAGCACAGTGTGGAGAATGTTGCCAGAATTCGTGACAATAACAATCCCGGAGAGATTAATAAGATAACAGATGCAAATGCAACACAACTAGCAATAAACTACTCGTAAATCATTCTTATTTTATCGCTTGCTTTTGAGAACGAGACAAACTCGTCGCTTTTTGTTACTGGTATTTCTGCCGATATGTCCTGATGCCAACAAAATTGAAAAAAATAGTAATTCAACGACTACTCTTCTAAAGCAAAAACTTCAACCCAGCCTTACTGTTTTAATGAGGAGTAACTGTCTTGTATCCTTTCACTTCTTTATTTACGCAATTAATTAAATCATTAATCAATTCATTCCTTCAATCATTTATTAATCAAATGCTCTTTTCGTTCCAAGTTTGAGATCCCTATGTTGGAATAACTACGTGCACCCTTAAAGACACAAATGGTGAAGGTTTTCTCGACCCCGCAAACAAAGGTTGTCCAATGTTCAGGTGACGGGCATCGATTGGATGCTTGATTAAATGCACAGATAATGTTAACAAAAGCTTATCTGTTAGTAGTTGAAAGCCGAAGCTTACATATAGGTTTCTTTTACCGAAATAATGAGGGTAACATATACATTTCCAGCTGTTGTTGTTTATGCTGCAAACTTTTTAAACTTTTATTTATGAAACGACACTTCACTCTCCATACCCATACTTCGTTACCACTGCTCTTTGAGATTTTCAGGAAACCAAGATGTTTCGGCTTTTCCAGAAAGGTGACTTTGCCAAGACAAGGTACAGTCGATAAAATTTCGCATCTCATACCTTGGGAGTGCTACATTAAAAGCTTTTATAATCTCATCGCTTTATCATGGCAATACTTAGTCCTATTCAGATAATGGCTGCAGATATATAATTGTAATTGCTTTATGAACACTACAACGACTTTCCCTATTAAATTCGACGAAAAAACATGGAATAATCAGGCAGATTTTCAGTAAATCTTCGAAAGAGACCGAATGCAATAACAGCGTTAAAACGCAATATCCTCTTGCCCTCGTCCTCAAAAGGAAAATAGTCTGCAAATGTCCTTACAGACTTGTTCTTATCGTTAATTAAAGGATGAAAAGAATATCATGTCCTTCCGATTGCTATAGAGGCCTGTTGAACCGAGTTATTTCCCTGGAGTCTATCTAATTGAGAAACATCAAGATTTCTCTTTCCTTATGCAGTCTTTCAAGTCCACTTTTAAAGTTGATGACATTTGTCTCTAAAAACCCTTGACTGACATTCCGGTAAAAGAGCTAAATTACAGAACACATGTAATATCCGCATTTGCATTTTTTCTCAGCTTGATTAAGCACATACTGGCAATCGTGAATTACGATAATTCTGTCGCTGGTAATTAAAAAGAAAACCTTTCCCAGCCTTAAAGTCTCTGAAACGAATGCGAATCTTTACACAAATAATGAGCTCCAAGCAGCCTGAACTCAATCCGAGCCTATGTTTTCAGCTAACATATTCTCGTCATCTCCAGATCCTGAGAATGATAAAAGATAAAAATAATAATATCAGTGCCTTTCTCATAAATATTTTCGTAGTGGTCACAACCTCTTTTTTTTTCTCCCTTTCTCGCCAAATGAAGAGCGCAATAGATCTGCAGGTTAAGCTAAAATTTTCAATGGTAAAATTCTCCTGTACCCAGCGACATCCACTTGATCACTTTCCTGGATAGAAATACGAAAAGAAAATTGGATACAAACCTTGATCTTTTGCCCCGCTGCGCCACAAAAGGAACTTTCTAAGTAAGACATAAGACATCATTGCCAACCGGATAACAGTAGCCGCTAAGCCAACGGAAATGAACACATACTGGATGGTTTTGGTCGCACCTGAATAAATATATCTTATTAGATGTTTTGATGTATAGTATCGCCGAGTATTTCTGCGAGTTGTATTAAACGATCATGTAAAGACAAAATTTTTTTTTTTTGGTTTCATCTCGAGCGTGGGATAACAAACTTAGTATTTGCCTAGCTTAGCAAAGGCTCTCCGCGCCTCAGTAGCAAGCATGAGACCGTGGAATCTAAAGATCAGTTGTGCTATTCCACATTGAGTTAAATGCAAATTCAAATGCATTTATAGAGTGTCATACTCCAATAATTTTCCAGGGCAATTAATTGTTTAACTCTCGATTAAACAACATTATTCCATACTGTTCAGGCTAATTAAAATAAAATTAAAAATATATAGGTCTTATAAGGTCTCAGATTTTCTCCTTCGTACCATACTCGTGGAGAAACGACAAAACATATTTCGTCAGTGCCATTTCTCTATTTATTCAAAGATAATTGTTTTAAAAGGATCTTGACTACTATGTAATTCGTCTCACCTTTCGATGTTGTCTCCCTTGTTGGTGCTTTAGCGGCTGTTGATGTTTCTACCGTCGTTTTTGCAGTTGTTTCTGCCATTGTTGTTCGTGGTGTTGATGGCGATGTTGACGTTGGTACTGCAATGAAAAATCAAGATGCAGATATTAGATCAACACTGTAATAAAGATCACTGCGATAAAGTAAGAACTGTCCATGTATTAATGCCAGTAAACTATACCTACTTCTTACGTCGTTAACAAAGCTTTCCATCTCATGATCACTCACATTGGAGGGTATGCTTTGAATCTTCAATGAGAAAGAAAATAAATGAATAAATAAGTGAATAATGGAAATATTTTTTCTACATGTTGGCACAATTTCTCTTCCAAGGGACGCCAAAAGTCGACTTCGGAAGGACCCCGGTTATAAAAAACATCAAATTATTAAACTTTTTTAACTCACCAATAGATAAATATTTTCCGGGTAAGTATAGCCATAATGAGAGATATTAATGCTGAGATACGTTTGGTTCTACAAAGAAAATAATAGCAGGAGATAGTTAGGCCAAAGTCAGTAACATTAGCCCCTTTTAACTCTTTGAACCCTAAGAGTGACCAGCAAAAAAAAATAATAAAAAAAAGATAATAATAAAAAAATAATAATAATAGCAGGAGATAGTTAGGCCAAAGTCAGTAACATTAGCCCCTTTTAACTCTTTGAACCCTAAGAGTGACCAGCAAAAAAATAATAATAATAATAAAAAATAATAATAATAGCAGCAGATAGTTAGACCAAAGTCAGTAACATTAGCCCCTTTTAACTCTTTGAACCCTAAGAGTGATCAGCAACTAACTTCTCCTTACAATGTCATTCCTGAATCAACCATAAAGATCAGGAGAATGAATGAAATGATCACCAACTACAGCTCTTGATTGTAAACCAAATTATCCTAGTCAGTACATTAAAAAATGTGTAGAGAACAGTATGGAGAATATGCAAGTTGATGTTAGGGTATAAAGGATTAAAAGCCTTCATCTTGATATCTATCTTTTGAGTGATACGTGTGCTACTTTAAATGGTGCAAAACCAAAATACAAGGAAACCAGTATCTTAGACATTTTGGGAGGTTTTAACAGTAATAGCAGTTCACACTACATTTTACTCTCCCAATGATAATTTTTGAGAAAGACCGGTACAGTGAAGGTATTCCTGCGAATATAATATACTAGCATATTTTGTGCTCAGTATTTAAAGATTACCTCAACCCTGGACCAGCCATGGGGAAGAAGCCCAAGGCAGCTGAATGAGAGGACCACGATTCGTGAGGTATGGCCCCAGTAACCAATCAATCAAACCACTACTGCGAGTAGCTGTAAAAGAGATCGAAGGAATCACTCGTTCTCTTACCTTGGGCAACACAGAGCAAAGTATACCTAGCCGGGAACCGAACCCTAAATTAACCAGGTAGCCTTTTAAGACGCCATCGGGATCTATCAATGCAACGCAAAATAGATCGGAGACTGTTAGATTCTAGAACGATTAGATTAAGGTCAAGAACCTTTTTTTTCACAGTGAGTACGTACATATTATAGTAAATTACTAGAAAAAGAACATCAAACGGGTGGATTGGTTTTGTACCACTTCGCGTCTGCTAATTCCAGGCCGAATTGGAATATGGCGTGTAGACGGCGAACAAGAGAAATAAATTTCTCTAGACTAAATCTTCTGAGCAAGGAAAAACACCGGCTGAAACCTAAACAATGGGTGACCCAAGGTTCAAGAAACCAATTTCGGCCATAACTTTTCGTGGGGAAAGCTGAGAAAATGCCAATACTCAAACACATACATTTTTTGGTATCTAGAGGAAGTGAGTCATGTTTATGTTCACTATCGTAAATGTAGTGAAAGACAAAGAAATTGAGCTGGGTACGCACCTTTTACTGGATTCCAAGACACATTTGCATACCAGTTAACTGTTTTTTCGTATTGTCCAAAGGTTACATTTGGCCTGCTGGATGTTAACTGTTGTTCCGGTAAAAGTGTTCCGTTACTGGCCGTGTCCCCACAATCTTGAACGAATATAAAACCAATCATTTACTACCAAAATCCACAGAAAATCAGTTGAATAGAAACTGAATAAATTCCCATTATTTCTTTATCATTGATGCAGAATTTATTCCTCTTTAATTTGTTAATAAAAAAGAGAAAGCTTTATCTGTATGAAGCTGTATAAAGTTTTTTACCTTCCTATACTGTTGCAGGAAGATAACATAATAACATGAATTAATTATCAGCTACAATTATAGCTAGAACACAGAGTGACTAATTTATATCCGAAGAGCTTATTATTACCACGGGCAAAAATAGATCTTTTATGGCGCTCCACTGTAGAGACATGTCCACCGACATCTGTGGAGCAAAATGAAATTCTACTTTTAAAATATATGAAATGATTATAAAATTTAACTATAGACCAAAGTTTTAATCTTACATCTGAAAAAAATGTATCAACAGTACTTAATTTTTTGGTTCCTAAAAACTATCAGATATTATATTTTTAAACTAGTTCCTTTTCTTTTAGCTCCTACAGCACAACCTAACAGTCTTCTGGAAGACTTACATTGTTAGTGTAAACAGCAGATAGAATCGGAGTTCAACAACCGATGAATAAAAATGAACTGTGTTGATAATCGGAGAAAGAGGACAGTTTCTAAGCTGTTCCTCCTTCACTGGCTTCCAACCAATCCCGGATTACATTGAATATGATTGTATTAAATGACAAACAACTCCTCCTGACTGGTTTAGAACCATAAATGCAAAAAAAATGTTTTTGCTGTGATGTCAATTTAGCTATTACTCGTGTCACTGATATTTACTCTCTTGGTAAATCATCTTTTCCCTGTTGGTTTAGAACTGAAGATATGAGAGTAACTGTCTTCCATAATTTTCTAGAATAAAAAAATCGAATTTTTTTTTCAAATCTTTCAAAGATTTCCAGGTAATAAAAACATATTCACATGAGACAGAAACATATTGTTCCGTTGCACTTCTTATTCAGCTTTATAAGTACTGGTTACCTCTCCTCCTCCTTAGACAATGGTAGCAGGAAAGAGATTGAAATGCCTAAAAAATGCAAAACATAAGGATGAATGTATCTCAGTTAAGTTTAAAGGATTGCACATAGGCCAGGACCCTTTAGGTTGTAATCTTGAACATTGGGGCGCCTCATTTCAAATTGGTAATGTTTTCCCTAAAGATACCGTCCAGGTTACAAATTTAGCTTAGGGTCCTTTCATAGTCTCCAGTCGCATATATAAATGTAACAATCAAAAAACCTTTCTAGATCCAAATTTGGTGCCTGTCACATTGTCTGACAAAAATGGCATATGTTTCTCACTGAATTTCTTAGAAATAGCATAACGTGGTCAGTGCCTGATTCAAAGAAAGCATATCATGCGTGAAAGAGACGTTTTAAAGTATTCTTGTTTGTTTTGCGCTGACAAAGGATTGAAAGTAGAGTGCAAAATTGTTAAGTTTTTAAGATAAGTTCCGATTGATGACTCGTTAGAATGTAATCCACGTGGTTCTGACACCCTATGGAATCAATACCCATAACTAGTGATATATTGAAATTAGTCTGATATGAAGATAAGAACGTGAACTTATTCATTTCTCTCTCTTTCGAAGTTTCCTTGGATTTCTGTACGGAAACCCTGCCGAAATCATTTTCATTTCTATTTGCAGCATTAAGTCCGGCTAAATCTTGAATTGGTGAAAATGATAAAATATTTAATTACCGCAAACTGTGCTGAAGTCAATCGAATTCTATTACTGTCGACTTCCGCAATCGAATTTTTTAAGGGAATACTCCTAGGTATTTTGATACAATCAACGGTAATTATCGCCTCCTAATTGGTCCAGAATTTACTTTGATAATTTTGTTGTTTGTGTACAAAGATTAGAGATTTATGGCGGCCACAACTCTGCATCGGCTTCGTTTTCCTCAGCTCAAATTTAATTACTTTCAAAATTCAACATCCTCAGCCAAAGGCTGATCGCCTTGCATCACAATGTACACATTTTTATTTCAATATAACAGAAAGCGATAACTAACCTGGGCTGACTTTGTCAAAGTTTTCCGTTCGTTCAAGCCGCAAACTCGAAGGCACCGTGTTGTATGGTATTTATCTTGGCTTAAACAATTGATCAATGATCCTGCCATAATAAGTGCTCCTATAGCAACTATAGGGATTCTCGCAGTCATGGGATCCTGGAAAGACGTTTGTTATTCCAAAAGACTTGTTATAATTTCAGGGCACGTTCATCAAGCACTTCTTGAGTAGAAAAGTTGAAAAAGCATCATAAATCAAGGTCGATTAGAGACTAATTTTCACTCCCATGTGATGCAAATTTTAACCGCACCAAGACATTATTCTCTTGCATCTCGTTTCACACCTGGATAAATCTGTCATTTTCCATCCCCGAATCGAGCAAAAAATCACACTTCTCAAGCTTATTCAAGTAATAATTTCTTGTCATCGAGAAAATTTGTCAGAGCTGTTGTTATAAGTAATTCGAATTTTCCACCTTCAGCATCCATCGTCCTACCGGTGAGAGGAATATTCAATTGTTTAGCAAAAATGGCAAATTTCTTTTTTCAAGAAACTTCAAGAAAGGGTGAGAAGTCAACAAAACATGACCATATCTTTGTTGTCCGCCAGGGAAACGGCACCCATCCTCAACTAATTTAGGAAGTTACGAAAGTCAGCTGACATTTAAGGTAGAGTGCATAGTGAGGAGAACGTTGCCAGGATTCGTGACAATAAATAAAACGCAATAATAAAAAATATTACACAAGCAAATAAAACCTGCCACCAACAAAAAACTACTCTTAACTCATTCTTACTTTATCGCTTGCCTTTAAGAACGAGACAAAATCGTTGCTTTTGTTACTGGTATATCTATCGATAGGCACTGGTGCCAAAACAGTAAAAAAATTCAATTCTGCTACGCTTCTAAAGAAAAACGTGAACTGTGAAATAATGACTTTATATGGGGTAACTGTCCTTTCACTTTTCATTTATTCATTCGTTCATTTAATCATTTGATGCTTTTCAAGTTTGACATCCCTTGGTTGAGAAATTCTGCCTGCACCCCTAAAGAAACAAATGGTGAAGGTTTTCTCAACCTTCGTTAGCAAACTTTGTCCAACTTTCAGGTGACAGGGATCCATTGGATGCTTGATGAAATGCCCAATTGGTTCGACAAATGCCGTCCACATGTTGAATAAATGCGCACATGAAGCATATCTATTAGTAGTTGAAAGCATAAGCTTAAATATAGGTTTCTTCAACCGAAATAATAAAGATTACATACACATTTCCAGGTGTTGTCGTTGTTTGGGCTGTAAAACCTTTTTAAAAACCTTTGTTCTCGTATATTTCCGAAATGACAATCCCATAGTGTACTGTTGCAAGTGTCGAGATACAATTCCATCCCCATACATTCCTTGGGAATAACCAGCAAGATGGTTCGGCTTTTACAGAAAGGTCAGTTTGCCAAAACAAAGACAAAGTCGACAAAATCCCGCATCCCATTATCCCATTCCTAATCATGGCGACACTTTGTCCTATTCAGATCATGGCTGCAGATATAAATTTGCAATTGCTCTGTGATCACTGCAACGACCTTTCCTATTAAATGCTGCGAAAAACATGAATGTAATGTAGATTTTCTGTAAATGTACCGACAAGGCCAAATGCAGAAGCAGCAATAAATTCTATGTCTTTGCAGACTTGTTTATATCGTTTAACAAAAGATACAAAGAGTATTATGCCCCTCCGATTGCAATAGAGGCCATTTGAATTTAAAGCGAGTTCTTTCCCTGAAATCTATCTTATGGACAAAGGATTTTTCTTTCCTTATGTAGTCTTTGAAGTCCTTTTTTTAAAGTTGATAACACTTCTCCCCCACAAGCCTTCACTGACATTCTGGTGAGCGAGCTCCACCTTTAATATCTGCACTTGATTTTGCACATACTGGCAAATGTGAAGCAAGATAAGTTTGTCGCTATTAATTTAAAAAAACCTTCCCAGCCTCAAAGTCTCTTTAACGAATGCGAATATACAAATGACGAGCTCCTGGCAGCCTACACTCAATCCAAACCTTCGTCATCAGATATAATTTTTGTCACATCTTCATCAGATTCTGAGAATAAAAGATTAAAAAGGTCATTATCGTTTTCTTTCTCACAACTTTTTTTCGTAACGGTCACAACATATTTTTCCCCTTTCTCGCCAAAAGACGCATAAGAGCGCAATAGACTTACAGGTTGAGTCAAAGCGTTCAATCACAGAATCCCCCTGCACCCAGTGATCACCCTTTTTTCTTTTCCTTTCTCGCCAAAAGACGCATAAGAGCGCAATAGACCTGCAGTTTGAGTCAAAGCGTTCAATTTTAGAATCCCCCTGGACCCAGTGTTCACCCACGTGATCGCTTTATTGAGTAGAAGTATGAAAGGAAAGTTGAATACAAACCCGGTTGATCTCTCATCTTGCGCCACAAAAAGATCTTTCTAAGTACGACAACAGCAACTATTACCAAAAGGATACCAACCGCCAAACCAACGAAAATGGACACGTACTGGATGGTTTTGTTAGTACCTGAATAAAGATAAAATAAGAAGGATAGCTAATTTTGAGGTTAGTAATGAGAAAAGGAAAAATGTTTTTTTTCTTGTCTCATATCGAGCGTGAGACAAAGAACCTAGTATTGGCCCACCTTGGAAGAGAGTTCTCTGTGCCTCAGTGGTCGAGCAATAAACGCGGATTTCTACTTCGAGCCATGCTCGAGGCAAGATGAAAAAACATCTTTTCTAATCTAATTAGTCTATTTACTCAAAGATAAACTGTTTTACAAGGATTCTGACTAAAATATAAGCCGTCTCGCCTTTCTTTGTCGTCTCTCTTGTTGGTTCTTTAGAAGCTGTTGTTTTTGCTATTGTTGTTTGTGTTGATGTTGCTACTGTAATGGAACATCAAGATTCAGATATTAGATCAACAATGAGAAGAAGCAAAACAACATATTCAGTCAACTTCACTGCGATAAAGTTATCATCCGATAAGCTTCCTCGATGTTTAGCCCCATCTTTCGACGATCAAAAAATTCTATCTTGGACAAGACAGAGACAGAAGGCTTCAGAATTAATGTTTTTCTCATGATTATATGAAAAAAAAACAATTACGATGACTGATTTATGTTCGCTGCTCGTGCGGCATCACTAATGAGTACAAGCTCGCAGGCAAGGAGGAACTTTAGTGATTGCAATTAACTATACCTACTTCTTACGTCGTAACTTTCCATCTCAGAAGCGGTTACTTTGGAGGGTATGCTTAGAATCTTCATAAAGAAAGAAAATGAATTAATAAATAAATAAGTGAATCATGGCTTCTTATTTTCCACTATTAGGCACTAGTTTTCTTGCAAGGGGCGTCAAAGGTAGACATCGGAAGGACGATGGAAATAAAAACATCAAATTGTCAAAATCTTTTCACTCACCAAGAGATAAATTAGGTCCGGGTAAGTATAGCCATAGTGAGAGATATTAATGCTGAGAGACGTTTGATTCTACAGGAAAGAAAGTAATGGCAGGAATAGCATCTTACTTCTCCTTACAATATCATCCCTAAATCAAACATTAAGATCAAAGGAATAAACGAAATGATCACCAAATACAACTCTTGATTGTAAACCAAATTCTCCGAGTCAGAACATTAAGAAATGTATAAAGAACAGTGTGGAGAATATTCATACTGATGTTAGGGTATAAAGGGTTAAAAGCCCTCATCTTGATATGTATCTTTTGAGTGATACATCTATTACTTTAAATGGTGCAAAACCGAAACACAAGGAAACCAGTATCTTAGACATTTTGGGAAGTTTTAACAGCAATAGCAGTTCACACTGCTCGTTATTCTCGCAATGATAATTTTGAGGAAGACGAGTACAGTGAGGGTATTCCTGCGATTTTACTAGCTTATCATGTGATCAACATTTGGAGATTATCTTAACTCTAAACCAGCCAGGGAAGAATCAAAATATTTTTAACTAAAATGATTTCAATTGGCGAAGTAAGGCCCCTCGAATCTGTTTACCGAACCCAAAGGATCAAAGTCTACCAGAAGCAGCTGAACAGGATGTAAGAGAAGTCCCCCGTTTTCTTACCTTTGGCAGCACAGAGCAAAGTATACTTGGATCAGAACCGAGCTCTAACTCAACCTTGTAACCTTTCAAAACGCCATCAGGATCTAACAATGCAAGGTAAAAAAGATCGGACACTGTCAGATTCTAGAATCGATTACGATCAAGAAATTATTTTCGCTACAAGTATTTCATGAGTAAAATGCTAAAAATCATTTTATTTGAGGAAAAAAAGGTCCCTATGTACCACTACCAGTGTTTCTTGTTGTAAAAAATGACAAACAAGCAAATCATTGTTTATTTTATGAGTTCCAGCAAGATATCGTGTTGTTCATGATTGCTTCCAAAGTAGTTCTATACCTTAATTAAATAAATTAAATCAGTTACTGGTGGACTTGCCGAATTGGAACGTGGCGTGTAGACTACAGAGCTAAATCTCCAGCTGAACTAAACCAAAGAACTCTAGAGAACCGGCAAAAACCCTCGAAGCAAGAACGAAAACTAACTAAAACCCTAGCAACATGTGACCTAAGGTTAATGAATCCAATCCGGGAATAACGTTAGTTGGCCCAAATTGGATATTCCCTTCCCCCTTATAGAAAGCATTTGATTCTGAACATTCGAGGAAGCTGAGAAAATGCCAATTACTACTCAAAGACAATAATTACCAGAGTTAAGGAGGAGTGTCTTATGATTCTGTTCACTAACATAGTTATAATGAAATTGTCACAAATTGAGTTCGGTACACACCTTTAACTGGATCCCAAGAGACATTTGCATACCAGTTAGCTGTTTTTTCGTATTGTCCAAAGGTTACCTTTGGCCTGGATGTAAACTGTTGTTTCGGGAAAAGTGTTCCGTTACTGGCCGTGTGTCCACAATCTAGAACAAATATAAAACCAATCATTTACAACCAAAATCCACAATAAATCAGTTAAATAGAAACTAAAAAAATTCTCATTATTTCTTTTGTATTGATGCAGAATTTATATTACTTTAATTTGTAATTAAAAAGAGAAAGCTATATCTGTATGAAGCTGTGTAAAGTTATTTTATCTACCGAGTTTGCACAATCTAAACAAATTTAAAATCGCCAAAATTTGCAGCAAATTAAGCTGGATAGAAATTGCATGATTTCCTTTATTTCATTTGGATCATTTCCAAAAGACAAAGTTTTTACCAAACAAAGCTTTTTCCGGTCACACACTGATGTAGTGTTAAACTGCCAGCAATTTATTACCAGCTATAATTATAGTAAATACACACGTTGACTAATTTATGGATAAAACAGTACCATCTATAGAAAAAGATCTTTTTCGGCGCTTTGCGCTGGTCTTCGCAGTAAGGACACCGATATCTGTCAAGAAAAATCAAAAACCTTTTTGAAATAAGTGAGAAATGAGTATGAATTATGGCAAGACCATATTTTCAATTTCACAAAACATACCAATAGCATTCCTATTTTTATGAAAACCATGAAAAATGATTTATTTAGACTCCTCCATTTCCTTTTAGCACGTGTAGAAAGCAATCTGTTTCTCTTCAGGAAGACTTAAATTGTTTTCGTAAACAGTCGATTAAATTCGACCTAAGCAATCGATGAATAAAAATTAATTGCTGTTGATTTTCAGAGAAAGAAGATAGCTTCTGAACTGCACTTCGTTTACTAGTTAAAAACGAATCCTGGACTATTCCGGTTGTAAATAATTAATATGATTTTATTAGTTAACAAACGACACTTTCTGGTTGGTTCAGAACCATATATGTAAAAGTGCATTTTTCTATAATGCAATAAGAATTTCGTATATTTTAGAGAAACAGAAATGTCGTGATTTATCAAATTTGTGGTTCAGCATTAAGTTTTGTGTACCTCTCCTGCTCCTTTTACGACACCGGTAACAAGAGAAAGATTTCAGGACCTGCATAGAGAAAAAAGACAAAAGCACCGCTGTTGTAAGGGGCTTAGGGTTAGGGTTAGCAAGCAGTAGCTAACACAAACTGGAATAACGCACCTTTAAACCCTACAAAAAATTTCCTATAGGTCAAACCAATGAAAGAGACTAACAGATTTGTCTCGGTTGCTTTGTTGTTCAGCGATACAACATACTCTTGTAAATCCCGCAATATCACGTCATTCTGGGGTGTCATGCTCCAATAATCAAATGAATGAGTATTCAAACGCCACATGGCGTGACTTTTTCAAACTCATTGGATATCGATATCGATCCGACCGGTTTATCCTGTTGCACAGCAGTCTTTTTTGTTTGTACGAGTTATGTTCAAGCTTGTAACAGAGGTTGAACCGGAGGCCAACACATTTAAATGAATGCAATGTACTGATACGGTACTTTATTTTCTTTCTTGTCGCGGAGACATATTTGCTTTCTATTTCGATTACCAACGAGGTCACGATAAGTAAATTTATTCCATGGACCAATGATTCCTTGAGTAGCACACACGTCGGGAAACTTCGAGTCTGTATCTTTGAGGTTTCAAAGTCACTCAACAGCTCGAAAGTGAAAGCGCCACTTTTAATAGCCTAAGCATGCTTCTAACCAATTCTGACTAGGAAAGTTTCTTCTAATTTTAAACAGCTGAGAGTTAATTCATAACGGCAAACCCCGTGCTGTTTTGTAGTACATTTTGCCCTTTCTACCTTTATTTCATTCGACTTGTGTTTTTTAACTCATGTCAATGCAAAATCTAGAGCTTACACTACTGACCTAGCCGTTTGTATTCAAACATGTCACGTTTTGCCGAAGCTGCTCTTTCCCTAATGGCAATTCAAATCAATTCAATTTCAAATTAACATTAAACCTAGATAACGTCTTCTGCTTCCGAACAACTTGGTTTACACCACAATGTAAAAGGAAATTTAATGTGTGTATAAAGAAACGGATACGTTACCTGAACTCTCTCGGATAAAGTTTTATCTTTTTCCAACCCACAAGCGCGAAGGCACCATACAGACTTGTTTATGTTTGCGCGTAATACCTCAAGCGAAGATCCCGCGATGAAAGCAAAGGCAGTTATCGTTATGACAATGATTCGTGCAGGCATGGTTCTTGTGAAACGCTCTCCCTCCGTGTATTGACTTGTAAACAGGTTCAATGAAAGTTTCACCGGAAAAGAAGCTTTTCCCCTCGAGTAGAAAAGCTAAATTAGTACAATAAATCACGGGCAACTGCAGTCTGCCGGCAGTTTGTTTTCCTCTAAATATAGAACGAGTGCTGCAGGGGGAGTAGAGATTGGGACGAGATGGCGTCACGATTTCGCCCCAGCCTCTCTCATTTCGAGTCAACGTCCACTGTCAGGCTCGTAGAGGCGAACAAAGAAATATGAGTAACAAAAGATAATATGCTTTCCACTTGACCCATCTTAAAAACTCTAATTGCACAACCGTGGAGGATATTGAACTCAACTGGCGGTAAGGGCGGAAAGCATGATCAGGAGAAGGTTAACGAGATTTAATGACAACAGAGGCCACGAAGAAGAGTTTCTTAAATCCCCTTATTCATTAGTTTATTAAAGTAATATCAAAAGAAAAATTACAGTTTCATCCATTTTTACAATTCATTTATGTATTGTTTGTTTAGTTATTCATCTTTTATTCATTTATTTGTATATACATGTATGTATCTTTTCAAGTGTGTTTGCGACTGCGGCTCCCCACTGTTATAAATAATCACCCAATGAAGATTATACAACCTGCTGACATTCTAGGAATATGTTTGTCTGGGAATCCTTAAGTCAGAGAGTTTAGCCTAAATCCCTAAAACATAATCATAACTACTACAACACGCAGCTTAATGATATTGCGTTTGATAATTGGTTGAATGTCCATGCACGTGTTTATACATATGTACCTGTCATGGTTGACATGAGAAGAAATGTTTAAAACGGTTTTCTCTAAAATGAAAAAATCCAATCTATAATTAGGGTAAAGTGTTAGGCGCTTCAAAATTACTCCTTTGTGGTTTTGTTGTTAATCTCGTTGATATATATACATTTTTTTCAAATTTTCCCATGTAGAATCGCCGTCCTTTCCTTTTTTAAAGCAATCGTTTTATTCCATGCGCATACGTCGTTATTATTGTCCTTGAGGAAATCCAAGAGCACAAGATTGAGCTATAAGTTTTCTTTACTACAAATAAAAAAAGAAATCTCTAGCCTCAGTACCAGAATTTCAAGATCCATCTCGTCTGTCACATAGCGATTTATCTGGCTTAAAAAAAACTACTTCGGTGTAATCACTATCAGTGCTGTTAGTCAGAGTTCCTGCACTGCCAATTTTTACAGTTGATACTTTTACTGTACTCTCAATATTGCTGTTGTTATTGCTTAGGTTCACCCTTTTCCTTCGCAATATTCCTCTCAGTCCTTCGTTTTCTGGAATCAACCCGTCGTTACTTGAGCAACAAGCCATCGGTAATTGTGAGAAAACGCGCGCAAATTCTTTATATGCCAATCTTCACTTATAATAGACTGTTACACAGAGGATATTACGGTGTCATCGCTTTTTGTACTGTCAAGCCTGTTGTACCGAGTTATTGCTAGGGCATTTTTCGCCTCAGATGCGGCTGGTCTGCCTGTCATTACTGTTGCTATTTTTCTCTCTGATCTAACCGCAACGGGCACCTTTAGAAACTGAAGGAGCTTTTTTTCCCAATAAGGTTTTTCATGATTACTGTCATAGTCGATCACGCTTCTATTCTGCAACGTTCTAGGAAGCTCTTGTAAATCTGCGTCATCAATTCTTATGATGACCAGACTGTTGTCATTTTCGCTTAAAAGTCGTTGCTCCGCTTGTTCCAGCTCATAACAACAGTTAGTACTTTTTAAAAAGTTCTTTGAATAAACAACTATGTTTTTGTAGCTTGCGTATACACTCTCTGACATAGTCTCATAAAAAACTCTCCCAGGGTAAAAGTCTCTGTAGTGAACTCGGCATTTTAGTTTATGTTGTTTTTCAAGAAGGTGTAGAATTTTGTTTTTCATCCATTTACAGTCTCTTTCGTTAAACATAATGAATACGTAGCTCTCCGCTCCTGGACTATCCAACTCTTTCTCCTCAGATCCCGAACTGCTGGACAATGTTATTCTAGACCCTAAAAATATGAGAAAATACGTAAAACCTGTTATGTGCTATTTCTGCTTTCAAGCACTGCCTGTTTAGGGGAGGGCTGGCTCAGAACCTGTGTTTCTTCCTTCCCTTAGAATAATTCTAAGGTAACCGAACAGCCCAAGAGAAACACATCAAACAAGAATCAGAAATTTAACGAAAACGTTCACTTGGCATGAGTCATGCCAAAGAGTTTGCTGAATGAATCTTTGGCTTTAAACGTTCTGTGAATAAGTCGCTATATATTGGTAGCTGGCGAATAGCTTTCCGACATACTTTGATAAAAAATAGAAACGAAAAAAAACCACACACTCCCAGGTTCAGAATCTCTTTAGTTAATTTTGAATTTCAATAAATTCTGCCCTTTAATAAGATATACAAGTTCGTTTTCCATTCAATGGCACTCTGTACGGTTTAGTATTATGAGCTCCTGATTTAAAAATCTTTTAAAGAGGTCTTAAAAGCGATTGAATATTTTTAGTCTTTACTATTGAGATTTTCAGAATTGTCAGACTTCTTCTTTTCTATCACCAACGAGAGGATAATATTTGCCTATTTACTGAGGGAGTGCCAGACGGGAAGGCATTTGGCTTTAGTTAGTGACGTACAGACCTCGAGCCAAATATTTTCTACGCTAGATGTGCAAGGTTCGAGTGTCATCTCCACTGCCCAAAACATCGAATAAACGCTCGATGTTTATGTGACCGTCATGTCCTGCTAAATGTACGGCACCACAGAAAATACGAGTGAAAATGAACACTTTATCTGAGAAATTTTAAAGGTTAATAGAAGGAAAACAACAGCAAAATTGGGAATGAAGCCTTGCCAGCCACAAAAAAAAAAGACCAGGGAGAGCCCGAGTTAAAAATGGGAGCATTTCAAACTAAAGTAACATCAGACGTGTCTAGATGTTTAGAGGACAAAGACAAACCTGCTGAGACAGAAGTGTGTTCCATGGGCCGCGACACGAACTTTCTGCGAAAAATAATAACCAGTATTCCTACCAGTAGACCAACAAGGATAACAGCAGATATGAAAACATATCTGATAGCTTTGTTGTTATCTGGACGAACAGAATGAAATCAAATTAACTGTAAGTACAAAGTTTTGTTTTAAAGAAGATTCAAATCTATGTCAGCGCTAATCCTCTTTTGATGTCAGAATCTGACCAAATGCGCACCTACCCCAGCCCCAACCTAACACTTCACCTAACTTGTTATCAGTTGACTCCTTGAAATAATGCTAGATGCAACTCGCGTATTGCTCCGATGTTTTGATGGAGAACGTAGGGATGCTGCATTCAATGCAGGACACATTCAAGTGAGCAAAATTCACGGCACTGGATTTGTTTTTCCTAAATAGTTCTGGGATTCTCGAAAACGGTGATCATTTAGAAATGACCGATGAGAATTTCATTGGCTAAGTCTTTCCCGCATTTGCGCTCAACATAGCACGCTATTGATAGTGATATAAGAAGACTTATTCTTCTCTCTCTTTTAAGCTGATTTTAGGCAAATTATAGAAACCACGAATGTCTTTCTATCCTATATTCATTTGACTCTATTGCTCAATCATTTATTTGGATTTCGCAGTTCATAGTAACTTGAAATATGTTGCATTAAAAAAAGAAATGATAGAGCAGAAATTCTACTCGATTTGTACAATGAAAGCAATACTTAACGCGCTCTAATTGAAGGCACAGGAGAAACTGGAGTTATTGTATTTGAACTTACCTTTGTTAGAGAGGGTTCCCTGCGCAGTTGATGCTGAAGAAGACTTAAACAAAGTATAAACTGTAAATGAAAGAAGGCTGCATGTGAATAAACGTTGAAGTGTTATTTTCGTATGTACTGGTATGTCAGTGATAAGTGAATCACTACAGGTTCATTCATGACGTTTAATTTAATCATTTAAACATAAAAATACAAGGATTTCTCTACGGAAAATTATAAAATTCGTTCCAGGAAATAGAGGATCACATTTTTCTCTTACCATCACAAAGCTTACCTCTCGTTGTTTTATCACTTGTAGTGGAAGCTCTTGTCGTTGTTGCCGTTGTTGTTGTTGTTGTTGTTGCCGTTGTCGTTGTCGTTGTTGCCGTTGTTGTTGTTGTTGACGTCGTTGCCGTTGTTGCCTTTGTCGCCGTTTCTCTCTTTGTAGATGTGGTTGGTGATAATTCTGATGATGGTACTGTTGAAGAAGATAATAAATAACAGACAATAAATAACACAAAACAGAAATACTGGACACGAGAAAAATTCATCCACCCTTGATATAAATTGTTAGTATAGACAGAGTTGATAATATAAATCAGCCACCAAAGAGAATTTTTAAACAGGTGTTTCGAGCAAAGTATTTTGTAATACCCGACACAACAACACAATTTCTTTAGAAACTTCCTCCTTCACCCAACCATAAGTTTCTTTTCGTAAAAAAAACATTGTTTGATTATTATAACCCAAATATTACTACAAGTTTCTCAAACCATGATGGACAGTAAGGGAATTTATGATGCCCAGTGACACAAAGCATCAAAATGAGGATGGGAAATAAAAATTTTCCAAACACCATACGAAAGAAGTAACTAGATATACGAGTAAGTCATTTTCTTTAACATAAATCCAATTTTTTTCGAACCATTCTGCTGCATGTCTTTACTTTTACTGCCAAACGAAACAGTAGAACTTCAATAATTTCAATACTTTCGCACATCTGTTGTGTTTGACATATCCCCTACCTTGATTATTATTGATTTCACCACAAGCCTCGACAATAACTATTACATTTAGTATATAACATACAAGTAAATAGTCCTTTTCTCGCACGCTGATTGGCTAGCTAGTACTCTTCTAGTGAATAATGGTTAACCAATTAAATCGTTCTCTTGACTAATTAAAACTCACATGGACTATCATAACTTTTCAATGCGAAGCCTCCTGTATTATGAGGGATGCTGAGGATCTTTAAAAAAGAGAAAATGAAATCAGTGATTGCAGAAATAAAAAAGGCCAATCAACATTCTGTGATCGGCGACTCCATACAAAAATGAAGCGAAATGAAGAGCTAAAAAGAATAAATCCTCGCTGACCGTTTTTCGAGTGTCCCATCCACAAAACAAGACTAAATCACTTGAATCAGAAGGACAGAAAAACTCACCCCAAGTTCTATATAATCTGGGTATTGATAACCATACTGCGAGATGTTTATTCTGAGGGAAGTTTGATTCTGAAAAAAAAATGGCGGAAAACTGATCATTTCATAGGTTAGGTTCGCGTCGATTGCAGGAATGCAACGTTTTTCACTCTGCTGCACATATTAAGTGAAAAATGTATTGTTTGCAAATGTTATTACAATTTCGTCAACTTTTGGATTGTAAAAGACATATGACTGATTGCCCATCATTAATATTACCTAAACTACTTGACGTTGCTTTGATCACCATCACTTTACGTATACCTAAACCGGCTGTTTATAGATTATAGAAGTCTGACAGCTTTTCGTGTCAGCCGGTCGTCGGAGAACTCAAAGGTATCCGTGATCTCACCTTTGGAAGTACAGTGCAAAATATGTCTGGCCCAGGACCAACTGATAACTTAATTAGATGTCCTTTCAAGTATTTATTAGTATCTAGGACAAAGAAAGGCAAACAAGTATTGTAGATCAGTAGAGTGAGGGATAAGCGCAAAATGGCGGAAATGCAATGCATACAGAGCTTCATCAGTTCACCTCCACATAAACTTCACCTCCCCATACTTTTGAAACATTTTCTGTTCAAAGAAAGTTTTTCAAAGCTGCAAACGTTTCGATAGCCTATTTCCGTCGCTGCTCAGACGGAAAAGATCCTTAAAGAATTTTGGATCCACATTTTGATACTAATATTTATCCTGGTTGAAAATCATTACTCAGTGGCTTGCGCTGAAGAGATCGGCATGAAACACGAGGATTAATGGATTTTACTGAAACTACGATTCTGGTTGTATTAAATGCCGAGCATAGAAGAATTTGAGTACCATTAAGTGGATCCCATGAAACGTCTGCGAACCAGTTGTCCGTATCTTTGTATCGTCGAATAGCTACAAAAGGTCGTGAAGAAAACTGTTCTTCAGGCACTGGTGTTGATTCATTCACTTTGCCCGGGCAATCTAAAATAAAAGGGATTCCAACGTGTTACTGCTCCATCAGATATGATCAACTCGAATATGAAGAGTCAAAATTATCCAAAACTTACTATCCGAAAAGGTTGATCTTTTTCGGCGCTGAAAGATTGTCTTTTCCACAAAGGTGTGCTTCGCTGTAAATGATAATATCAATGTTTTTAACTTTTGTTGCATGAAAATTTTCAAAAGAATATAACTTTTTATCCGTTCAAACATCACGAGCCAGTAAAACGTTTGAGTTTATGTATATTTAAAGGCGAAACATTTATATCGCCCCAAGGAAAGATAAGAGTGAAAAAAAAACCCTGGTTTTAACAAACAGTATCATCTATAACTATTGATTATTTGGAATACATTCGCTGAAATTTTTGATGCAAATGTTTGAAAAAAAAATTCTTTAAAAATTCTTCATTCTCTTAACTAATAAGTGCATATGGTTTGAATACTGTCCGGCCTAATTTTCCGATCGACTAAAGTTAACGTAAAGACGTCACTCTGGTAACCAGCCTGCCATCACAACCGTATATTCATTTTATATGATTTTTGTACATTTCATTGAATGATTGATAACTTATTACAAGAACCGACAGCGCTTCTAAATCATTACTTTTGCACACTTCTAAACCCCTGGACACGAAAGTAACTATTTTTGTAAACAGAAATCAATTCCTTTCTTTTAATTCTCATTCCCTTGCGTTATTTTTTGTATGGTGGCTACAGATTATGAACACGCAAGAATAAAAACGTCTTTAGTTTAGTGGCTTATTCACTCTTGGGCCGTTTCCACGCATTACCTGATCTCCTTCTGAGACACCGGTTGCAGAGGACTGAATTTAGTACCTGTGTATGAACAAGAGAGACAATTGGAAAAAAATTGATTCAAGATATAAATAATTAGGTAAGTCATGGTATTAAGTGATTTTATTTATTCTCTTTCCAATTCAGGTTGTTTCAGGAGAATTAATATTACAGACGTATATATAGGTTTTGTTCCGGGTCTAAATATTTCGTTCATTGCCAAAAGCGTACTCCTGTATCATGTTTCCCTATTTTCCCGGAAACTTATACTTCCGTCAAAATAGAAAAATAATTTTAGTGTGTGAATAAATTTGCAGGTACTTAGTTTTTGTACAGCTTATGTGAACCTTCCCTTTATAACCTACATCCATAGAAATATTTACAATGTTTTTATGACACTCTACCTACTACAAATCTTAAATCGAACTCTTTACTAATCAACACTGGTGAAATAACTTGGTTCCTCACAGTTCTTTTGAAGGACGTCATTTAACTCAAGTGGTCTTCTTCATATTTATGCATCGATGTTAAGTCCTTGCGTGGAATCAATAATGGATACAAAACTTCAATAGTTAATCACCCAGGTTGATTGATGAAACAATTGAAATGCTTGAAAGAGAAGATGCAGTCGTCAATTGATTATCAATTGTTTTTTAACTGATTTCGCCAATTGCATTGTATAGTCATCTCTGTAGTGATTTACGTCCAAAGTGCACTAGAAAAAAAAGATTTCCACTTCAACGTGGGTAAAAAAAATTTTCAATGGTTCTTCTAGATCTTTCGCTAATCACAGAAACACCGCTGATAATCAAACATGTGCTTTTTCAAAGAATCTAAACGTCATATCATATCTTTTTGTGATGATTAATAATCATTCATTATTTTGACAAAATAAGTGCTTTTCACTTATAAGTCGCATGATTGGCGATGGAGGCTGCATTTTCAATATTTTCGTGATGCTGATTCACGCCCTTTTATCGTGTCACACAGCTTTCTCGGTTTGCATTCGTCGTCCATTGTCGATACTGGCTACAATAGTGAATGACAATCTCAGAATCGCCCTGAGGCAAAAATCATTCTTTTCAAGAGACAATGAAACAACATCGCATAAGTTGATTCAAATGCTGCTGAAAACACCAACAGTAGTATCGATACCTAGCAGTCTGGCAAAACAACGTAAAGTCCTCATTCAAGTGCTCTCCTATGACCATTGGTTTTGCACCGGAAGCTTTTCGTCTCCGGTTCAAACCTGATGTCACGATGAATGCAAGGTCTTGATGAATGTTTTGATTGCCCTACGTCGTTCAAACCTGTTTTTGTTTTGTTTCGAACGCTAATAATTCGGCAGCGAATTAAAAAGGTCCACAGATCCCTATCAAATATCCAGTCTCAGCAGTTTACATAGATTGGGAGTTTTCCAAGTTGATAGCTGAGAATTGATCAATGAGTTTTAAGAAAATATTTCTCAGACTAAAGCTTTCTAAGACTAACAGCTTTCTAAGACTAGCAGCTTTCCAAGTCCTACATTTGCTGATTCGACTTTTGATTCAAAACTCGTGCCAATGCATAAAAACAGAATTGAACCGTTTTATGACATCAAGAAATTCTTACAATAAAAATAAACTGGAGAGAGAAGAAAAATAGAATTCATTCCGGTTTGCATCCTCTAATACTACCCAATATCAATTTGGCAACTCTTAATTAATTCGTAAGAAGCTTTTTAATCAAAATACAAACAAAAGAGGAAAAACGTGTTTGACATTTTTAATCTTAATTCTGTTTTCCCTTGCAACTTACACCAGCGTGCCTAATATTTTTTCGCCAAAGTTCAAGCTCAGCAAGCTTTGAAAAATGTGCACCTCGTCTAAAAGAATGAAAAATCACACACCCTGCTCCCAGCAGGTTTTTGATCAAAACAAAAGCTACGAAGAGCATGAAGGAACGCGAATTAACTTTGAAATGAAAATTTATCAGACGCAAATGAGTGAAATTGTAAATCAGAGCGAGAGGCTGTATAGAAAACAAATGTGTATCTTGATGCCTTGTCTCTGAATATAATTTTTTTCACCATTACTTGATTTTTTTACCTCGCCAGATCATTAAGAATGTTTTCGTGATATTCTTTCCAAGAAAAAGTACGCTCTCTGCATATGTGAAGCAGACAAAACTCAAGTAAATATAGAATAAAGAAAAAAAGAACAGAGATTTGAACAAAAATAGCAACAGCACAGTGCTCCGTGGGTATCTAAGCACCAAATGGCAAAAAGAGAAATTCCGCAAATTCTCGAAATAAATCGTGACTTCATGGTTGACCTATTTGATAATGATTTGATGCACACAAGTGATCTCGATCTGATTTAATTGCATGATAGTTCTATCATTCTACATTTGATAAACCTTCCATGATACCTAAATCATTATTACCTAAATGGATATACGAGGTAGTTCTTTTTCTTATTAAAGAACGTCTAACTAATTTAATTGAAATAAAACGGTGCAAAATCTTTTAGGGTTTGTTTACCACATACTGAGCTGATGCGAACGAAAAGCTCACCAATTACGGCTCACTCGAAGGCCCTATTCCTGTGTTTGATTATTTTTATCTTCATAGGCGCATTACCCAATTACTGAACATATTCCTTTCTCTGTAAATTTGCATGACGTTTGCCACAACCTCTTGCCCAGTCACCTTCCAGTGTAATTTTTATTTGCCAATTAAATGGATAATTACAGAGCTGTTGTCAGCTGGGGCTGAATATTTCATTCTCCGCTTACAGTTGAGTTGACCATCATAATTAAGACCTTAACTTCGGCTGTAAATCTCAAGACACCGATAATATTCATACCTGAGGTGGCTTTGTGAGAGACATCTTTTTGTCCAGACCGCAAGCGCGAAAACATCTTGTTTTCTCGGCCACCTTTGCTCCTAACGTGTTTATCAATGCTCCTGTGAGAACCAAGAGAACGGCTGCTAAAACCCGCAAAGGAATTGTTGCAGGCATGGGTTCTTGCGATCCTTTGGCACCGTTTATTAACTTGCGACAGTTTCACGAAGGGTTGGTCACGAGACAAAGAATTCCATCATGAGCAGGAAAGCTGCCGAAACACCACATTTAAACAGGATTCAAATGCAAATTTCAAACAAGTCATAATGGCCCATTTTTGCTTAAGTTTTTATTTACATCTCGTTTCACACTCGGGTAATTCTGTCGCTTTCGATTATTAAGATTGATTGGTTTAAATATTGATGAAATAGGGAGAATTTTTTTGAGTCCACATCACTGATTGTTCATTAATTCCGGCTGCTACGATAGGAGATTCAGAGTACATCATGCCTGTTTCTTACTTTGATTAACGCGATAAGAAATAAAAAACCAGCTTCAGGAAATGAAAGTCAACTACTTGGATGCAGTGAAGCTACATGTTAGTGCATGAAATATGATCCCTCTTAAAAAGAGCACGTTGTTTCCACCTACAAGTGAAAACTGGCAAACAAGGCAGGCTTGTCCCTGGTTTGAGGGTTTAAGTGTTAAAATAGGCTATTGGAACAATTTATAGCAATAGATTTATAAATTTGATAATCAAAATGATAACAGAGATTCAAGCTGACGAAAATGGTGAGCCATGAGCTGAATATAATCGCGCGTGGCTTCGATTTTCGTGGGGTATGAACAATCAAGTCGCGAATCAATGCTGTTAACTAAAAGAGAACCCGCAGAATCATTATGAGCAAACTCAAGCTGGGAAAATGCAATAAGTAGGCAAAAAATTTCAAGTTTTCCTCTTTGGTATCGATCGCTAGTAAAAAGAGGCTTCCTTAACCGAAGTTCCCGGCCACACGGGGGTACAAGAAGCGCAAGGCACGACGGTACCTCTTTCTGCCAACTCCATCCTCCTTACCCATCCATTTCCATGTAGCGTGCATCATGAAGACAACTTGGTACAAGTCAGGCTTCCCCTGATTTGTTTCGATTTGTCTCTCAGGTGACTGTTCCAACTACTTTTGGTTAAATCCAGACCAAGAGAAGTTTCTTTTCCTACGCTCATTTATCTACAAAACCACGAACTACTGGAATTATTTTTTTTCAAAAACGGTCATCTCAGAAATTCGTTAAAGAAACAAGTTTCAAAAAGTGCAAAAGCTATTTTTTCTGTTGTTGCTGTTTGTATTTTTAAATATAGGTATTAAGTTCAGCAAAGCTAGCGATAAGTACAACATACAAAAATATAGAACTCAACATATGAAAGACATCTTAATATGAAACAAACTTGTTAAGGTTCCCGTTATATGTCAGTATAGTTCCCTTTGTGAAATAAATATCTCTGTGGTGGTGCTGCTTGTCAGTGTTTTCGAACCTTTGCAAAGCGCCTCCCTTTTAAAATCCTTCGGGCTCTCCAGGAGCGCGATAAGAAGTAAGGTGTTTTTCTCAGAAAATTTTTCCCATTAAAAAAAAAAATTCCTCCCCCTCCCCATCCCTGTTAAAAAAGTATAAAGAAGTGCGAAACTTGACTAAACTTCAGAGGGAACATATCGACAGCGGCTGTACTTTAGAACGCCATAATACTAGACGAGCTTATTAAGCCCTGAAGATCTCTTTGATCGCTGGTAACATGAAACCTTTTTCCAGAACACAATAACTTGTATAGCTATTAACACGACTATAAATCTAGATCACATTCTTAAACAGAGGTTCCCTCTGTCTCTGAAATAACAGATACTTCGGTAGCGGTACTGATTGTTCTTTCGTAAGCAATTCTTTTCTGATGATTTTCTTCGATAAAATCGTTTGGAAACAGTTATCATTGTCTTTGTCTTATGTCATACATTCTTCATCAAGATCATTAGAGGTGTCCAGAAACTTAACGTGTTTGCTTTTCCAGAAAGGTTTTTCCAAGGGATTGGCATAGTCTATGAAACTTCGTTTCTTCAATCCCCGAGAGAGCATCTCACAATCCGTTTTATCAATTCTCATCACGACCAGGCTGTCGTCTCTTTCTTTAAGAAGGTGATACTTAGCAAGGTCCAATTCATGGATGCAGTAATTACTGAGCATCAAGTTTTTGGAAAACACTGCAATTACTTTATAACTGTTGTAAACACTCTCCTCCATGTTAACTTCAAAAGGCTTCCCAGGCATTCCCTCCGAGTACCCCGAGAGACACTGCTAAAGTAGTAATCAGAGTGGTGGTGTAATCTGGGAAACAAAAAAATACGTACAGTTTACACCAGTCGCAAGGAAGTTATACAAGAGTCAATCATGCTATGACCTAACGTGATCATTAGCAATCTATGTTGCAGTCTCAGTTCACATTTCATGTAAGAACAAACAGGTACAAGATACCTGTGGGTATAATAAGGTATAACCTCCTCTGACAAAGGAACACGAGCGCATGCTATTACCAAGAGATCAAAGATGAGTGCGCTGGTTACCCTTTGGCTAAAAGGTTTTGGCTTTTCAGGCTACTCTCATCATGCCTCACCCGACCTATCCACAATTGTTTAACCATTTAGGAGGTTATTTCATTCTATAAAGCGTTTTGCATTTGAGAATCGTAGGTCAAAATAAAATAACGCAAAATACAGCCAATCAGATTAAAGATTGCCATCACGTAGAGCCAATGAGAAATCAAAGAGTTTACACGTTTAACTCCATAGCTCGTTTCACTCATTTGACTCTATAGCTCAATCATTTATTTGGATTTCGTAATTCATAGTAACTTGAAATATGTTGAATAAAAAAAATTAAATGATAGAGTAGAAATTCTACTCGATTTGTACAAAGAAAGTAATACTCGGCGTGCTATAATTGAAGACAAAGGAGAGAAAAACGGTCATCGAAACTGGAGTTCTTCAATTTAAACTTGCATTTGTTAGAGAGGGTTCCCTGCGAAGTTGTTGCTGAGGAAGACTTGATAAAAGTACAAAACTGTAAATGAAAGAAGGCTGCATAATAGTAAACTGTGAAGTGTTGTTTTCGTAAGTACTCGAATGTCAGTGATAAGTGAACCACTACAGATTCAATCATGACGTTTAATTTGATCATATAGATATAGAGAGGATATAAAAACACTGGTGGGAAAATGGAAAATAATATTTTTCTGTAGAAAATTGTAAAATCCGTTCCAGGAAACAGAGGATCACATTTTTCTCTTGCCATTACAAATCTTACCTTTCGTTATTTTATCACTTGTAATGGTAACTCTTGTCGTTGTTGCAGTTTTTGTCGTTGCTTTTTCTGTCTTTGCAGATATGGTTGGTGGTGATTCTGATGATGGTACTGTTGAACAAGATAATAGATAACAGACACAAAACAAAAATACTGGACACGAGAAAAATTCATCCACCCTTGATATAAATTGTTAGTATAGACAGATTTGATAATATAAATCAGCCACCGAAGAAAATTTTTAAACAGGTGTTTCGAGCAAAGTATCTTGTAATACCCGACTTAGCAACACAGTATCTTTAGAAACTTCCTCCTTCACCCAACCATAAGTTTCTTTTCGTAAAAAAAATTGTTTGACTATTATAACCTAAACATTACCACAAGTTTCTCAAACCATGATGGCACAGTAAGGGACTTTATGATGCATAGTGACACAAAGCATCAAATTTTCCAAAAACCATACGAAAGAAGTTACTAGGTATACGAGTAAGTCATTTTCTTCAACAGGACTCCAATTTTTTCTAACCATTCTGCTTTATGTCTTTACTTTTCCAGCCAGAATTTTAATGATTTCAACACTTTCACACATCTGTCGTGTTTGACAAATCCTCTATTAGTAGATACCACACAAGTGAATAGTGCTTTTCGCGCGCGTTGATTGGCTAGTTCGGAAGTGAATGGCAGGTACTATTCTAGTGAATAATTCTAAACTGATTAAATCATTCTTTTGACTAAATAAAACTCACATGGAATAACATCATAAATATTCATTGCGATGTTTTTCTTATGAGGGATGCTGATGATCTTAAAAAGAGAAAATGAAATCAGTGATTGCAGAAATAAAAGAGGCCAATCAATGTTCTGTGATCGGCGACTCCATATAAGTATGAAGTGAAATTAAGAGCTAAAAAAAGAAATCCTAACTGACCATTTTTCGAGTGTCCTATCCACAAAACAGGACCAAATCACTTGAATCAGAAGGACAGAAAAGCTCACCCCAAGTTTTATATAATCCGGGTAATGATAACCATACTGTGAGATGTTTATTCTGAGGGAAGTTTGATTCTGAAAAAAAAAATGGTGGAAAACTGATCATTTCATATGTTATGTTCGAGCCGATTGTGGGAATGCAACGTTTTTCATCCCGCACTAGTGCTGCACATAAAAAGTGAAAAAAGTATTGTTTGCAAATGTTATTACAATTTCGTCAACTTTTGGATGGTAAAAGACACATGACTGATTGCCCATCACTGATTTTACCTAAACTACTTGACGTTGCTTTGATCACCATCATTTTACGTATACCTAAACCGGCTGTTTATAGATTATAGACGTCTGACAGCTTTTCGTGTCAGCCGGTCGTCGGAGAACTCAAAGGTATCCCTGATCTCACCTTTGGAAGTACAGTGCAAAATATGTCTGGCCCAGGACCAACCAATAGGCGAATTAGGTGTCCTTTCAAGTATTTATAAGGATCTAGGACAAAGAAAGGCAAAAAAGTATAATGGACCATTAGAATGAAGTATAAGCACAAAATGGCGGAAATGCAATGCATGCTGAGTTTCATCAGTTCACCTCCACATAAACTTCACCTCCCCATACTTTTGAAACATTTTCTGTTCAAAGAAAGTTTTTCAAAGCTTCAAACGTTTCGATAGCCTACTTCCGTCGCTACTCAGACGGAAAAGAGGGAAAACGTGTTAAATCCTTAAAGAATTTTGGATCCACATTTTGATACCAACAAGAGCTCGGCATAAAATACGAGGATAAATGGATTTTACTGAAACTACGATTCTGGTTGTATTAAATGTCGAACATAAAAGAATTTAAGTACCATTAAGTGGACCCCATGATACGTCTGCGAACCAGTTGTCCGTATCTTCATATTGCCGAATGGCTGCAAGAGGTCGGGAGGCATACTGCTCTTCAGGTACTGGTGTTGACTCATTGGCTCTGCCCGGGCAATCTAAAATAAAAAGGATTCGATCGTGTCACTGCTCAATCAGATATGTTCAACTCGAATATGAAGAGTTAAAATTATCCAAAACTTACTATTCGAAAAGGTTGATCTTTTTCGGCGCTGAAAGATTGTCTTTTCCACAATTTTCCATTAATTTTTGTTGCATGATCTAAAATCTACAAAAGAATATAACTTTTTTCCCGTTCAAATATTAAGAGCTAGTTAAAAGTTTGAGTTTAGATGCATTAGAGGTGAAACAAATATATCGCCCTGAAGATAGATGAGAGTAAAAAAAATCCTAGAATCATCAAACAGTATCATCTATAACTATTGATTATTTTGAATACATTCGCTGAAATTTTCGATGCAAGTGTTTAAAAAAAAAGCTTTAAAATTTTTCATTCTCTTAATAAGTAATAAGTGCATATGGTCTTGCATACTGTCCGGCCTAATTTTCCGATCGACTAAAGTTAATGCCCCTCGTATCGCACATTTCCCGGATACGATACCTGAAGATGTGAGAGCTCAGTGAACGAATACCTCTTTGTTTTATGTTTGCCCGAAGGAGAACTTACTCGCTGGATAATCACATTTATGTGTTAGATCCGTGGTTTCCTGAAATTATTTTTTAGTGTGCATTCGCCTTAGCTGAATGAATCTCTCTGATGTCAAGATCGACATTGATTCGAAATTTCATCCAGAGCTCCGATTGAAAAGATTCTTTGTTTGTAGCACTGACCCAGGTCCGTGGCAGACACAAAGACGACAAAGTGTCTCGAGATACTGAATGTGTTCATCCATGCTGTTGGCTTGATCTGAAATTCACAATGTAGGCTTATAAAGGTCCGATAAATAATTGTCCTTTTACTTTAAATTGGCCGGCCATAACGTATGGTTAAAATTTATGGTTTACACGATACTCCGATGGATCTGAACAAAGGAATCCGTCTGGTAGTTTGCACACTAACAGACTTTCAACATTTGTGCACTCGAGCAAAAACCTCGTGCACTCGATTGGAATTTTGACAAATTGGAAGCAAATTTATTCTAGTTTTTTAAAAGATATTTTTTAGGAATCAAAAAAAATGTTGCATACCTGAAAACCTCAACTAAATAGAGGTTATTCCTCGATCGAGCCCTTCGCAACATGGACCTCCACCCGACTTTTCATCTGAATTTTTCCTTCACGTCATCGCGATCACCATCAGTTCTTTGCTTGTTGTGTGTAATTGCTTGTCTTCTGTAATTTGGCAAGGTTTCATGGGATATGGGTAGGGAACCAAGTCACTAGGGCTCGAATAAAGTAATGAGTGAGTTTCCTCGATGTCCCACTACGACATCCATGTTGGTGACGTCATCAAGTATCCAGAAATGGTTATGGCCCGGACTGTTTACATACAGCTTATGTGAACCTTCCCTTTATAACCTACATCCAGAGAAATATTTATATTGTGCTTATGACACTCTACCTACTACAAATCTAAAATCGAACTCTCTACTAATCAACACTGGTAAAATAATTTGGTTCCTCACAGTTCTTTTGAAGGACGTCGCTTAACTCAAGTGGTCTTCCTCATATTTATGCATCGCTGTAAAATCCTTGCGTGAAGTCAATAATGGATACAACACTTTAATAGTTAATCACCCAGGCTGATTGATGAAACAATTGAAATGTTTGAAAGAGAAGATGCAGTCGTCAATTGATTTTCAATTGTTTTTTAACTGTTTTCGCCATGGAATTTTTAAGTCATCTCTGTAGTGATTTACGTCCAAACTGCACTGGAAAAAAAAGATTTTCACTTCAACGTGGGTAAACAAAAATTTTATATGGTTCTTCTAGATCCTTCGCTAATCACAGAAACACCGCTGATAATCAAACATGTGCTTTTTCAAAGGATCTAAACGTCATATCATATCTTTTTGTAAAGATTAATCATTATTCATTATTTTGACAAAATAACTGCTTTTTACTTAAAAGTCGCATGATTGACGATAGAGGCAGCATTTGCAATATTTACATGATGCTGATTCGCGCCCGTTTATCGTGTCACACAGCCCTCTCTGTTTGCATTCGTCGTCCATTGTCGATACTGGCTACAGTAGTGAATGACAATCTCAGAATCGCCCTGAGGCAAAAATCATTCTTTTCAAGAGACAATGAAACAACATCGCATAAGTTGATTCAAATGCTGCTGAAAACACCAACAATAGTATCGATACCTAACAGTCTGGCAAAACAACGTAAAGTCCTCATTCAAGTGCTCTCCTATGACCATTGGTTTTGCACCGAAAGCTTTTCGTCTCCGGTCCAAACCTGATGTCACGAAGAATGCAAGGTCTTGATGAACTTTGATTGCCCTACGTCGTTCAAACCTTTCTTTGTTTTTGTTTCGAACACTAATAATTCGGCAGCGAATTAAAAAGGTCCATAGATCCCTAACAAATATCCAGTCTCAGCAGTTTACATACATTGGAAGTCTTCCAAGTTGATAGCTGAGAACTGATGAAGAAAAGATTCGACTTTTGATTCAAAACTCGTGCCAATGCAATAAAACAGAATTGCACCGTTGTATGACATCAATAAATTCTTACAATAAAAATTAACTAGAGAGGGAAGAAAAATAGAATTCATTCCAGTTTGCATCCTCTAATACTACCCAATATCAATTTGGCAACTCTTAATTAATTCGTAAGAAGCTTTTTAATCAAAATACAAACAAAAGAGGAAAAACGTGTTTGACATTTATAATCTTAATTCTGCTTTCCTTTGTAACTTACACTAACCTGTCTAGTACTATTTCGCCAAAGTTCAACCTTAGCAAGTTTGAAAAATGTGCTGCTTGTCTAAACGGAATAAAAAATCAAACACCTTGCTCCCAGCAGGTTTTTGGTCAAAACGAAAGCTGCAAAGAGCACGAAGGAACGCGAATTAACTTTGAGGTGAAAATTTATCAGACGCAAATGAGTGAAATTGTAAATCAGAGCGAGAGGCTGTATAGAAAAAAAATGATTACTTGATTTTTTGACCTCGCCAGATCATTAAGAATGTTTTCATGATATTCTTTCCAAGAAAAAGTACGCTCTCTGCATATGTGAAGCAAAACAAAATTAAAGTAAATATAGAATTAAGAAAATAAGAACAGAGATTTAAACAAAAATAGCAACAGCACAGTGCTCCGTGGGTATCTAAGCACCAAATGGCAAAAGGAAAAATTCCGCAAATTCTCGAAATAAATCGTGAATTCATGGTTGACCTATTTGATAATGATTTGATGCACACAAGTGATCTCGATCTGATTTAATTGCATGATAAATCCATCATTTCTACGTTTTATAAACCCCGAAGTTAACCACATGGATATACATGGTAGTTCTTTTTCTTATTAAAGAACTTCCAACTAATTTAATTGAAATAAAACAGTACAAAATCTTTTAGGGTTTGTTTACCACATACTGAGCTGATGCGAACGAAAAGCTCACCAATTACGGCTCACTCGAAGGCCCATTTCCTGTGTTTGATTATTTTTATCTTCATAGACGCATTATCCAGTTACTGAACATATTCCTTTCTCTGTAAATTTAAATAACGTTTGCCACAACCTCTTGCCCGGTCACCTTCCAATGCGATTTTTATTTGACAATTAAATGGATAATTACAGAGCTGTTGTCAGCTGGGGCTGAATGTTTCATTCTCCGCTTACAGTTGAGTTGGCCATCATAATTAAGACCTTAACTTCGGCTGTAAATCTCAAGACACCGATAATATTCATACCTGAGGTGGCTTTGTGAGAGACATCTTTTTGTCCAGACCGCGAGCGCGAGAACATCTTGTTTTCTCGGGCACCTTTGCTCCTAACATGTTTATCAATGCTCCTGTGATAACCAAGAGAACGGCTGCGAAAACCTGCAAAGGAATTGTTGCAGGCATGTGTTCTTGCGATCCTTTGGCACCGTTTATTAACTTGCGACAGTTTCACGAAGGGTTGGTCACGAGACAAAGAATTCCATCATGAGCAGGAAAGCTGCCGAAACACCACATTTAAACGGGGTTCAAATGCAAATTTCAAACAAGTCCTAATGGCCCATTTTTGCTTTAGTTTTTATTTGCATCTCGTTTCACACTCGGGTAATTCTGTCGCTTTCGAAGATCTCTTTGTTAATGATTAGGTTAAATAGTGATGAAATAGAGAGGATTTTTTAAAAAGAAAAAACGCACAATTATTATATGCAAACTCAGGCTAGAAAAATGTTATAAGTCGGCCGACAATTTCAAGTTTTTCCTCTTTTGTATCGATCGCTAGTGGAAAGAGGCTTCCTCAACCAAAGTTCACACGGGGGTACAAGAGGTGCAAGGCACGACGGTACCTCTTTCCGTCAACTCCATCCTCCTCACCCATTCATTTCCATGTAACGTGCATCATGAAGACAACCTGGTACAAGTCAGTTTTCCCCTTATTTGTTTCGACTTGTCTCTCAGGTGATTGTTCCGACTACTTTTGGTTGAAACCTGACCAAGAGAAGTTTCTTTTTCTACGCTTATGCATCTACAAAACCACCAACTACTGGAATTATTTTTCAAAAAAGGTCATCTCAGTAATTCATTAAATAAACAAATTTCAAAAAGTTCAAAAGCTATTTTTTCTGTTGTTGCTGTTTGTATTTTCAAATATATATACTAATTTCAGCAAAGCTAGCGATAAGTATAACATACAAAAATATATAACTCAAAATATGAAAGACATCTTAATATGAAACAAACTTGTTAAGGTTCCCGTTCTATGTCAGTAAAGGTCCCTTTGTGAAATAAATATCTCTGTGGCGGTGCTACTCGTGTTTTCGAACCTTTGCAAAGCGCCTCCCTTTTAAAATCCTTCGGGCTCTCCAGGAGCGCGATAAGTAGTAAGGTATATTTCTCAGAAAAGGTTTTCCATAAAAAAGAAATCCCCCCCTCTTCCCATTCCCATCCAAGAAGTATAAAGAAATGCGAAACTTGATTAACTTTTGAGGGAACATATCGACAACGGCTAATAGAAACGTCGTGAATACTAGACGAGCTTATCGTGCCTTGAAGGTCTCTTTGATCGCTGGTATCAGGAAACCTTTTTCCAGAACACAATAACCTGTATAACTATTAACACGACTATAAATCTAGATCGCATTCTTAAACAGAGGTTCCCTCTGTCTCTGAAATAACAGATACTTCGGTAGCGGTACTGATTGTTCTTTCGTAAGTAGTTCTTTTCTGCTGATTTTCTTCGATAAAATCGTTTGGAAAACAGTTATTATTGTCTTTGTCTTCGTTCCTGCTTTCTTCAACAAGATCCTTAGAGGTGTCCAGGAATTTAATGAGTTTACTTTTCCAAAAAGGTTTTTCCAAGGGATTGGCATAGTCTATGAAACTTCGTTTCTTCAATCCCCGAGGGAGCATCTCACAATCCGTTTTATCAATTCTCATCACGACCAGGCTGTCGTCTCTTTCTTTAAGAAGGCGATGCTTGGCAAGGTCTAATTCGTGGATGCAGTAATTACTGCCAACCAAGTTTTTGGAAAACACTGCAATTACTTTGTAACTGTTGTAAACACTCTCCGCCATGTTAACTTCAAAAGGTTTCCCAGGCATAAAGTCTCTGTAATGAACACAACATTTCAAATGACTTTCTTCTTCCAAGAATGGAAGTAATTCTCCAGTCACCCAGCTCTTATCTTCGCTGCTGTAAATGATAAACGCGTGGTATTTGAATTCTGTAAGAGATAAAAATTTAAACGTTGTTAATCTTCCTAAATTTCCTTGCAAATTAGTTATGAGAACTTGTGTTATATTACGACAATACCCTTTGTCTGATACGTACAAAGGTGCGAGGAGTAGTCACAATCAAAACAATTTCTACCCACCCCTGATGTGGACGTCCAACTTCACATCTCCCTTATCTTGTGATGCAAAACTCAACAAACTATTGTTATTCAAAACCTACCTGGCGGCAGTTTACTGCTCTTCGGCCTGCGGCTTAAAATATTCTTTAAAAGGCAGGCAGCGAACGTTAATCCTCCGAGGACACCGAGAGACACTGCTACAGTGGTAATAAGAGTGGTGGTGTTATCTAGGAAACAAAAAATTACGTACAGTTTACACCAATCACAAAGAAGTTACACAAGGGTCAATCATGGTAAGACCTAAATATAAACTTGATCATTAGAAATCTATGTTGCAGTCTCAGTTCACAATTCATGTAAGGAGAACAAGGTATAAGATACCTGTGGATATAATAAGGTATGATCTCCTCTGGCAAAGGAACACGAGCGCATGCCATTACCAAGAGATCAAAGATGGGTGCGCTGGTTACCCTTTGGCTAAAAGGTTTTGGCTTTTCAGGCTACTCTCATCGTGCCTCACCCGACCTAGCCACAATTGTTGAACCATATAAGATATTATTTCATTCTATAAAGCGTTTTGCATTTGAGGATCGTAGGCCAAAATAAAATAACGCAACAGCCAATCATAACAAAGATTGCCATCACGTAGATCCAATGAGAAATCAAAGAGTTTACACGTAAGCGGCCTCAAGGGCCAGAAAAACCTTGAGATGAGGTTGAAAAGGGTTTTAGATATGCATCTGATTGGTGAAAAGGGAACCGTGAGTTCGGCATACAAATCACAGAGATTAGTATAAATTTAGATCCCTTGACTCTCAATTGAAATTTCTCGTTATAAGATTTAGGACGGCACTAGTTAATCATCCAGTGCAGACAGTGATGGAAACCATTAGCAATTTGTTGAATGTCACTGCACTGAACTTACCTGATTTTCCCTTGTCAGTAGTAGGAGGAGTCTGTGTGTTGGTAGCAGGAGAAGTCTCTGTCTCGGTAGCAGGAGTGGTCTGTGCTGTAGGAGTAGTCTGTGCCACAGAAGTAACTGTTGAAGACACTACAAGAAAAGAATAAAAAACGGATGAGAAGGTCGAGCGAAATGGTATATTACCAGTCTTAAACTTTATTATGGCCAGAAGTTCAACTTAAAAAGATAAAAATGAATTTTTCTATTTGCCATTGGTGTATATAATAATAATATAATAATAATAATAAAACTTTATTTAAGTGTCAGTGTATTTTAGCACTGCTGTGCTAATTGGGGACACTGTAAATAAGGAAACAAATATCGTAAATGAACAGAAACTCGTTAAAAAAAAAACCTAATGTACCCTAATGTGATGGTTAAGTTCTTAAATTCTCCACTCTTGCTCTCAAACAAAGAGATGAAAACTTATCCTTTAACTAAAACATTGTGCTTCTGTATCTGCTCTTAGCATAACCTCAGTTTCATACACCATCTCATAGAGCGCTTTGCATTCAAGGATCGTAAACCGAAAAAAAAATGCTTAAACACAAGGGACAGGATAAATGCAAATTTTTTTTATTTGGCATCTGATTGGAAAGGGGAAGGCATTCAATCGAAAATCTCTCTTTTTAAAATAAATAGCTGAGTCATTTAGTCGCCAGTTGAAAAACAATTCAAACATCGACCATCTGTGATTACCACTCACCTACAACGGGTCCATACGGGTCTAAAGTTACGGTATCATCTGAAGAGAAAGGTTGGCCAATAATCTAAATAGCGAGGAAATCAAACATACGGAATGCCGCAGTTAGCAAATGCCTCTTAAGACTTCCTCTCTTCTATTTAGGTTGCATTCGTCTTTTTTTTTTTTTTTTTTTTTTTTTTACGGGGGAAATTTGAGACAGATCACTGTAATGAGATTTTACTGAGCCCGGTTGCTTATGGTTTGGGGAAATTTCCAGGCCTAATGCCGAAATGCAGATTTAGAATGCTGAAAAGTGATATCTTAGTAACTGGGCTCACTACCCACCATCTCAAAAAAAAAAAAACAGAGGGTAAGGAGAGATCTCAGAAACCAAGGCGGCCAGATTAACTGAGATTAAGTGATTGAAATACTCATACGGGGAAATTTTCTAGACCTTCGATGGGCAATGAAGCGTGATCGCAAAAACTGCTCTATCCCGATTCCAATGTCGCAACGAAGGCAAACTTTGAAATCAAAATACCACTTGCTTAAGTTAATTGATTCCTGTGCCAAAGTTGAGTTATTACTAACATTATCATGAAAACTGACTTATAATTAGTTTTCTGTGAGGTAAACGGTAAAATAGAGCGCCAGTAGTGTCTTTTATTTCATACTATGTCTTACAATTATCGACAAACAATATAAAATTATTAATTTTGAAACTTATTTGAATTAAAAAGTAACTTAAGTTACGAAATCTCTGAATTACATCACAACAATGAGGAGCCTAATTTGTGGCGCTCTCACTTAAAATTCCAGTGTCATTATCTATAGGGTACTCACATCTAAGTAAATTTTGTTTGGATATTGATAGCCATACGAAGTAATGTTAACTGTCGCGACGCTTTGATTCTAGAGAAAAATTAACAGAGGATACATGTGTTATTTAACTAACAAATAAATTTACAAGTAAATAAATAAATAATGTTGGGAAACGTTCCAAAATTCTGAGGCCTACATTTTTGTTTCACAAGTTATATTTATTTGCTAATTTCATTTTCTCCAAAACCAATTTGGAGCTGATATATTTTGATATACTTTTGCGAACCAAAAATTGGAAATAGAGACTAAACAGGCTTTTTTAAAAAATTAACGAAAGCTATGCCTTTTAAATCCTTACTTTTGGATACTTTAAACAATCCACGTCTCCAGTAGAGGTGTCTATTGCGAAAAAGCGGATGAGTATCGAAGTCCAGCTTTCATTTGCATCTTGATGTGAATAGAAAAACTTATGTTAAAACAAACAGATTTGAGCTCAAACGTAAAAACTTCACGGGCAAAAAGTTCAATGATTAACCCTCTGATAAAGGAACCCCTAACAAACAACTTCAAAGTAATAATTGAAAGTTACATAATGCAACATCATACTGACAAAATGGCTGATATAACACTGGTTGTGAAGTTTGTACAGTGAAATGTGAAAACATGAAATCATTTCACCGAAAGTATAAAATATCAGCAGACTTTCATTTATGCTGATCAAGTAATATCCATAAAATTCTCAAAAATAAAAACCCATAGAATCTAATGTTGTACAAAAATCTCTGTTTTGTAACTCTATGGATGGCGACCAGGGATAGTGAGAAAACATTAGAGTTGTTTAACTGAGCACTTACCATTCATAGGAGTCCAAGATACATTTGCATACCAATTAGTGGTGTTTTCATATTGACCAAAGGTCACATTAATGTTACTTGGTTTCCAGTCCTGGGTCTGGTTTGGTGAAGAACCTGGACAATCTAAAATACATTTATTAAGTAATGGAAATTAATAACAATTTGATTAATAATTTACTGATGACTACTAATGTTTCTAGCCCCTGATATCTTGATTTCTGGTCTTGAAACCTCAATGCCCATGAGATGATTACATATTAAACAAGTTTTGCAAGTTTAAATCGTCACATTGCTGTGGCCTCAGTCAGATCCAGAAGAAGGATCTGGGAAATTTTGACTCCCAGCTTCCCCCACCCCACCCCCTAATCAGACCTGTACATTTTTTTTTTCTTCTCATCTGACACCAAAATACTTGCAGCTATGTTAGTCAATATGAAATGTTTTTCAACTTGCTAAGGCAATAGCCCACAAAAAAAAAATATTAGTGTTTTCCGAATCATATTTTGGAGCCTCCCCCTCCTCCCTTCATCAAATATTTTCTGGATCTTCCCCTTGCACCTTCAGGAGCATGCAGCAAAAGAAATCCAGGTCAGAATTTGGCTCTCTGTACACACTTCCAACAAGTCCACTGGCATGGCATTATGTCAAATCATCTTCTTGTAACACATATTTATTGTGTTTCCATCCATTGGTGTTTTAACCCTTAGGTAAGCTATTCCTTAAGAAAAAAACTTGAAAGTACACATTTGATATTACTATAATGCTTACTAGGATTAGGTGGGAGAGCTTTTCTGAAGCGTTTTTGAAAGATCCCTGGCCTGACTGGGGCTTGTCCATGTGCAGCTGTTAAAGAGCAGGACAAAAAACAAAGAGAATGAATTACAATAATCAACAGTTTAGTGAGCAATGATGAATACTTCTTTGTCATTGAGTGATATGATAGATGAGATCAAATGAAGCTAAAAACAAATTTTTAAGTTTTTACATTGATTACATTTCTTTCAACTTTAATTAAGGAGCATAAACACACTTAGATGCAACAATAAACAAAGAAGGAACAGGAATGATTGAGGACTGGAATTATGTAAATAGATTACAAGTGAAAAATTTGAAAAAAATTAACAACACACGTAACATGTGACAAGCTTGTTTGAGTAAGTCTTTGCATAACACTTTTGTCTCCAGTCCTCCTCCCACTTACTTCTCAGACTTCTAATTCCCTTAGGAACCCCCAACCCTTCCCCCAGAAAACCCCGTAAGGCAATAAAATGTACTCCAATGCTTGAACAGTACAATTCAAACCTTAATTTTGATAAACAAATGATCGGTCAGTCACATTATCAGAGCACTGAATTACCTCTCCTCACTCCCAGACACTGGTGATAGCAGCTTGAGAAAAGTTTTGAGACCTAGCAATCGGAAACAAAAGAACACTTGGTAACTTTTCATAAAATAAACAATGTCCAATCCATACACACTACCTTAGCTTTGTTGCCTTGTTTTCGAAATAATTCAGAAAGGACATTGTTTACTAACACAGAGTCCATAGCTGGCGAAGGAAGTGGCAGATAATACTGTACTTCGAAAATGAAGATAATAATAAATAAATTACAGCACTTCCGTAGTGACAGCATTAGTGTAAGTGCTATTACATCGTAATAAGTGAAAGAAAGTGGTAAGAAAAGCGGGAAAAATCAAAGATAAAAACAACGGCGCTGCAGTTTATTTTTGGAACTCCCTGACCAGGCACAATCTTTTGTTTGTAAGCGTATAAACATCGCGAATGAACAAATTGATGGGCAGTTTCGGATGGTTAGTTGAGTCAGGATGATCCGAATACTATTGAACCTTGTGCACGATAGAGTCCAAAAGAAAAATTCAAATGACACAACAAAGAAATCAAATAATCAGGTTCACTAACTACATGAATCGCTTTTGGTTCGAGGAATGCAAATTTAGTTGCTTGCGTGATATTCCACGAATGAAGTAAACCGTGACTGTGTCACGATATGCAGTACATGCCGTACGATCACGTACGCTCATTTTCGATGCAAAAATTGTGATTTAGAGCAAATGTAACGTCCAAAACATTTTCTGGCAATAATAATTTCTCTAATTATCAGTAAATTTTTAATTAAACAGAACTGACATAAATGTCGTGAAATGCAAACACATTCAATTTTGCTCCTGATCCTCCATGAAAGGACACAACAGCCTTTCATTTAGCACTTTTCAGGATTTCATACTCTACAGACGAGTTTTCTTAGACTTGTTGCAGATTCACCTCATTTTACTAAATTGTTTCACGAACTAAAGGTCGAAAATTATTTTTAAAGGTGCATTGTTTTAACATGTCAAAAATGTACTTCCTGTCTTTTCCGAGAAAAAAAGTTAAGCTTGACTTAATCCCATCAGATCACGTCCAAGACACAAACGGTTAGAAGTGATAAGAATACACAACGATTTCGCGCAGTTTATTCTAATTTCTTTGATTAAGGTTGACATCCGGAATTAAGGATCTCGAATGTATACAACCTCTTTTGTCTTCGTTGCACTCTATTTGTATTAACTAGAGCCGAGATCACGAGAATGCATTTTTTTCATGCTTTCACGCCTCCTAGATACAAAAATGTTTTAAAAATAACAACAGAGCGATTTCATCAATCGATACTTGTTTCTGGATTTTTATTTATTAGTATTTGTCAATCTCCCTTTCAAAAAAAAGTTTTTTGCTAGGCTTCCGATGCAAATCCACTGAAAGCACTGCTGTCAGATCCGTTCTACAAATCAAGGCTTTACAAATTGTTTAAACATTGAGCTGTGCACGTGTTTGCAGTAAAGGATAAAAACCTGAACGAATGATCGAAGAACAAACACGTTTTCAGTTTCTAAAGACCGTTTTCATTCTTATCGCCATCCAGCTCTCCTTCAGACCTGTCCAGTTTTCGTGCTAACCGGTACCTTCCATATGCAAATTTATATCGTTAATATAGTAGCCATCACGTACATGAATCGATTAAAACTGTATGACTTAAAATATTTCTTTCGTCGATGCTCTTTCCGACACCATTTTAGTTCGATAAAATGGAAAATTGAGGTTTTAGTTTGGATGTGAAAACTTTGAAGTCAAACATAAAGCTAAGTGAAATTGATGTGGTCGTGCGTCTTCCATCCCTGTTTGAAAAGCGTTATTGATTGTCGACCTAAACAGCAAGCGCGCAAAATAAAGTGATAACATTTTTTTGCAATTGTAGACAGTTTTGTTGTTGGTCTGTACTATGCGTCGAGGTAGAAGTGAAAAGCACACTCATAGGACCGCTTCCGCAATTTTTGCTATCAGGAAGACAATTTGATTCACATCTGAAGAGGAATCCCAGAGTCATACTTCGAAACAATTTAACATCCACATTTGCTCCTGGTTTAAACTAAAAGCAGTTCAACCTATAAAATGAGCGCTTCAAATGAGCGCCTTAAATTTAAGATTCTTTTAGACGCATGGTATAGTTTAGGTTTATTGATCACAGCGAAAGTGACATACCTTTCTTGTCAAGCGTTTCAGTTGTTGAGGATTACATTTTCTCACGCACTCGGTTGAAACACTTTGTTGCGATCTCTCGACGGAAACAGCGATAATAAGTGTGAAAGTCCAAAAAGCAATCATTTTGCTTAGTTTTCTGGAGTTCCTTGCAGCCATTAATCTCAATACAATACTTCTATGCTCCCAAAAGTCTGTACGTGATACCACTAACCGTTGTTTATCTACAGGAACCACTGTAAACAGTGACCAAAATATGAACTACGTATTGCTGACAATGCAGACTACACGACTCGGTGGGGGGAGGAGAGGAAATATATCACGCGACGCCGCCGGCGAAGGAAGTAGTATGCTATATCACATACTTTCTCATAGATATTTGGGTACTATGTTACAATAACTTAACGATATTGTCACGTGGTGTTTTAGCTCTCGTTTCTCTGTCTGTCACAGTTTCAGTGCTTTAAGCACTTGGACGATTTTAACACAACTTCCCCCCACCCCCCCAGCCCCAACCAAGTAATCACAATGAAAAGTTTAGATAAGTACGTCATGTAAAGAACTCCTTGCGTCCCACAAGAATCGGTGCCCCTTTTCCTGTATTCATCGGTCATTTATCGTCACTTGCCATCCATTATTGTCGTAGAAGCTTTATTATGTTTCAAGTTTTGCTTGGTTTTTACTAAATATACTTTTAAACGACAAATATCCCTTGAGGAGTAAATATGTGCAAATATACAATTACTTGTACCAATGCACAAGTAGTGACAGCTCCTAAGCAAGCAGCCTAAATGACCGTTAAGATTGAATGAGAGAGGGGGAAGCTGAACTGAAATTCAGAGGTCTTGAGCGTTACTTATCACATAGGAGAAAAAAGAAAAAGAAAACGAAATAATACAAATCCCCGTTCTCCTACAGTGAGTCTGGATCGATAGAACTGATAGTTTGTTTACTCGGATAAAATATCCGATTAATGTCAGTCAGTCTTCATGCACACCTCTACAAAAACATATTTTCGCTCACGAGACTGTCTAAACGTAACTTTCGTGAAAACAACAAATCAGGACCCTACCTCCCTCTCTCTAACACATCTTATTTTCTCTGAGCAACATATAGTCAAGCCTTCATTTGAAAACGAGACTAAAGCTGACCTTTTCACATCGCCAAGAGCAGCTACTCTAACTTCGTTTCTTATTTAAGACTTCACGCAATAATACAAATACGAATGAGTCCAAAGGCTTCACGAAAAACCACCAAGAAAAGCCATCAGTTTCTCAGTTTGTTTTCTTTCATTTTATCCTCCTTCAACTGTTTCGAGACAAAACTTGGTTAAGTCCCGTAGGCCTTGGACTCATGTGTGTGATGATAATTACAATTCAAACTGACTTTTACTCTGCCACAAGGAGGTTTCCTTAAGTATGTTTCTAGAGATGGTAAAGTTGCTTAATCTTTTAGTGAATAAGCACAGGTGGACTAAAGGAGGGGGGGTTAAGGTGGAATATATTTTCGCACGGGGATGCTAACTCTAATGTCATAAATTGCACACTAACTATAACAGACGTCACTTTTCGCCAAAAGGGTAATCCTCCCAAATATTTACAATAAGATCACAGCATCATTTGGATACGCTTATAGATGCTGTAATGCTAAGATAGAAGTCAAAAGCTCTCCGCTTTGAAAAAAATTGCTCTTTAGTAACATAAAATGGCTGAATAATATTTTTTCTTGTCCTATATAAATCAACAGCCTACAGGCTGCAGGGCAAGGAGTGGCGTCCCCGTAACAGTAAAGTACTTTAATTTACAGGATCTGATTCGTTATTCTCCGCTCTAGTTACTGTCAAGAGATGATAAAGTTATGCTTCATCTTCTGTTGTTGCAATACATTTCTACGACATTTATTGACAGATGTTGTTGCATTATGATACCAGCCTCCAGCCGATACACTTGTTTATCCTCTTTGACTGTTTGCTGAGAAATATTCTGAATAGTGGAGAGAAGTTTCATGTTGATCATTCCTGGAAGTTACAGTATTAGGTAAACGATCACTGCTTAGCATATTCAAGAACCCATGTCACATACTAAATACGATGAAATGTAAATAAAAGTTAGACCGGATTATCCTCGTTTAGAGTAACAATGGATAACTCTGTGGTAGTACTTATCGAACTGTCCAATCTGGAATACCTACTCCTCATCTGTCCATCACTTCCCTCTGTGGTAACTTCGGGAGCAAAGACATTACTATAAGGGTCCGTCTCCACTTCCACCTCTACGTGACTTGGCTCCTTAGGGACATCCAAAAACTTGAGCAGTTTCCTTTTCCAGAACTGTCTCTCCGTCAGATCAGCATAGTCGATACAGCTTCTTCCGCGAAGCTCTCGAGGGAGGTCGTCGAATTTTGATTTGTCGATCCTTATGACAATCAGGCAGTTATCCCGCTTGTCTAAGAGGCGATACCTGGCAAGTTCAAGCTCGTAATTACAATATTTACTCTGCAAAAAATTGCTCGAATAAACAGCAATGATCTTGTGGCTGCAGGAAACGCTTTCTGCCATACTCTCTGTAAAAGGAATTCCAGGAGTAAAGTCCTTGTAGTGGATGCATACTCTCAAACCGTGCTCTTCTTCCAAGAATTTTAGAAGTTTTCTTTTTACCCAGCCTTCATCTTCTTTGTTGTAAATTATGAAAACGTGGTATTTGAAATCTGAAGCCAAATATAAATATGAAAGGTCGTCATTTATAGAGTTGTAAATATCATACACACACTTTGCAGGCTATGCAGTATATCTTCAGCGAACGAATACAAGCTAATGGCGACGACGAAACAGGTGAGCTAACTTGTTTTGATATCACTTTTTTTTTATCATTCCGCCCCATAAAAGCAAAAAATTACCAAACTTGAACCTCGTTTTCAAGCTCTCGCAAATTACACTTGAAATTTAAGAGTCACTAAACTTTTAAGTACATTTCTTAGAAAATAGTTCGCTCTAAGTTTGCTGCCGACAAAATCAGGTATATAGTTTTAGAATTTAGAATACATAATTTTCTATTTTGGGGGGAAGGGGGAGGGGGTGAAGAAAAATGAAAGTAAAATATGAACTATTCGTGTTTCAAGAAAAAGTAGTGCCCTCAATGCGTGCAGAGAAGCGCTGGGAGTTGTCATTTTGAGAATCACGTGAGCTGCTCCCGTATCAAAAGTTTCTTTATGATCTATCGTAATATGTTCCAAAATGCTTTCTGCAAGTGCATAAAACACTTCTGAGAACTTTTGTCATTAGTGGAAAAAAGTACCTAAAGATGACAATATAACTTAACATAAACAAAGGAATCATTATAAAAACAAAATAATCAATGGAAAATTTTCTTCTCCAAGTTCAAACCTGATGGTAAAGTGATACTTGGTTTACGACGATGAAAATACATCAGCAAGCAAGCACCAAAAACTATTCCAACAAGGCTTCCAACGGCGATTGATCCATAAAGTAAGGCCGTATTCTTACCTGGAATTAGAAAGGAATATCTCTTACCTATTTTTCCCATTTCATGAAATTGTTATTTCAAGCAAGCAACAGGCGAGGAAAAGAATATAAAGAGAGCTCAAACAATATGGGTATTGCCTGTTAAGGTCACTAAACAACAAATGTTTAGGAGTAACCAAAAAACGCTCTAGGCTGGGAAAGGATGGAAATGATTATCATAATCGACGATTGCCATCATCAAATTATAACGTTTAACCCTTTAACTCCCAAGATCTCATTAGCACTTCTCCTTACTGTCTGCCATATAGTTCTTGTGATGTTGGTTTGGAGAATTTGGTATTGGATCGACTAATAATCCCTTAATTAAAATTTGTCTTTATTCCCATTACTCGTCTGCTTGATATTGTATTGATATTGTAAGGAGAAATTCTGTCTTGGTCACTCATAAGAGTTTAAGGGTTAAAGAGTTAACATGACTGAGCAATATTTAGAAGATCGATGCACAACTGTCGTGACGTATATATTTGGAAACGACCAACTACTTACGCTCTGATGTTGGTTTTGATGTTATGAGGACGGCACCAGGAGTGTACACGGCTGAAAAAGAGAAAATGCACCTCAATATCATACGGGTTTAATACATGCATTCTCAAATAAAAAATTATGTAATTTATTCGCATAGAAAAGGTGTTTGAAAGTGCTCCTTCGAAGTAACAAGATACCGTGGCAACCAGAGGTTTTATCACAATTTTTAACATATCGCATCCTTTTCAAATTGCTCCAACGATTTTGTCAGTAACTGACAAATAATGGACAAGACACCGCTATAGAGCACTTAACCTAGATGCTTAGCGCGTCAGAAAAAAAGGAAACTCGTTGCTTTTCTCTTGTCGCTAACTGTCATGATAAAGATGGAATATACCAGGAACTCTATGTAACGGGAAACAAAGTCATTCTTTAATGGATTAAATCTAAGCCAGCTACATCGTCAAGCTTATGCAGTATATAATGTTGAGGTGCAGTAGTTATTTATTTATGAATCAGTTATTAAATTGGGCAGCTCTAGGAAGATTCACAACATGCCAACATTTTTCAGTGATTTTATTGCACAAGAGTCTCTTAAGTGTACTTGTTTTATGCTCTTCATAGAGTACTTACGAGGTCCATATTGTTTAGTCGGCGTAAAAAGCTCTAAAACCAGATATGGCTCTGTCCCACTCCGTATGTTTGGAAGAGCAATCACCTGCAAGAATAAAGTCATTATATTCATCTGAAATGAGACATTACTTCGTGCGAATCTGAAATGAACTTTGTCAAATTGTTTATACAAAGAATCTGGATGGAATGAAATAAAATAGTAAAATCTTTCCCAAAAAATTAAGTTGGTTTATGGGATTTTACAGTTAAAACCCCCGAATCTAGGGAGAAAATTTAATTATCATCAGCTAAAAAATATCTTTCCGTTTATCTTACAATTAGATTGATTTTCCTTTCCTTGTGTGAGGACGTGATGTTCACACTTGTTCGGTTCTAAAACGAAACAAGAAAAAAAACTCAAGTACTCACCAACAATCAAACAGATAGCGATCAATCATTGCTTATCACCTAGGGGGAGTGGTAGAGGTTTTATTGGGGGAGGGGGGGGAAACAGTCGTCACAAGCAGAGTTTAGAGGGAGGACTGTAGAAAATTGACCGCGAGTTAACTGCAAATAATGGGGGATCCGGTAAAATTTTATTGTGACACAACCAAAACCCTCTGAACCCCATCCCCTCCCCCGTAAGCGATGTATTGTGACCTGTCCCTCAACAAACAGGAAATGAAACTATCCATGAGAAGAAGAGGTGCAAAACTACTTGGACGATTTTAGAATAAATAAGATTGGGTCTCGATCTTCAGGAAGGATGCCTTGGATCATAGGGGCAAAGATCAACGAAACAGATGGCTGTTTCCTAAAAACCCATTCATGACCGAAGTGATAAACATATGTACATAAGAATAAATACAGTACAGTCTCAAACATTTTTGATTATAGGGAAAAATCAAAGAGAGGAAATAGGAAAAAAGAAAGCAATTTCTTTGTCAAATCTGAAGTAGTACAGAGCAACCTCAGTAACTAGTTACAATTAAGGTTTTCTCGACTTATTCCAGAGTGCAAGAACCGAAGCAACAAAGAGCAAACTTAGGCGATCTCTTTTTCGCTTAAGAGACACGAAAGAAGTAACTGTTTAGAACTGAGAAATGATATACCTTCAGGCACAGAAAGGGGGGTGTTTAATCACCGTTTCTTTTTAGTTTTATTCCTTGAGTTTTTGTGTTTCTCTTTTATCATTATTTTATTATTATTTACCAAATGCTTTCAAGGTTCGATGATTATCTATACCTAAAACTAAACAGACAATCTGAAGAGGAAATCCATTCTTAACATTAAGAGGTCCTTACGGCAACAAACCATCAGTTGCGACATGAAAACAATATATACCTTGGGAAGTATCAGGCAGGAGAAATTTTGATAGGGTGAACGACCTTCGCCAGTAAAGTACCTCATGTAATATTTATCCCAGCCTTTGGTACTACCTGAAAAAAAGGAGTTTCCATCAACAATTTTGCAACCTTGCAGTTCGGAAAAGTGAGTCCAACCCTCTGAGACCTTTCATATTAGCCCCCTACCTCCCCTTAAATATTGCCTCTGTCCCCATAGTCGTGCAACTCTCTTCTGTTCAACCATCTGGGACAAAGGCTGAAATTTTTGCCTAAGTACATGGAATTATCAACATAATTCAAAATGGCGTCTGGCTGAATTCAAAAAAAGGTGAACTTTCATGGTCAGATTAGCATGGCTAAAGAATAAAATAATACAAGGCTTTTGGAGGAGGATTAAAAGAGCTCATTTGATAGAGATAATCGAATTTTCAGGGGCTCATTTTGAAGTTCCAGTATATTCGAACAATTCATGATTCAACGACAAATTCAACCCAAAATTTACCTATGAATGGACTCCAGGAAACTTGCACAAGCCATCTGGAGCTGCCTTTAATATCATGGAAATGTACTCTTATGTTTTCTCTCTTGATGTGCCATTTCTTATCGATATGGTCCAGTCCGGGGGGACACTCTGCGGGGACAAAACGAAAATTAGCAAAAGGGGACCATCGCAGCACATCATATTATAAATAATGGCAATATAGTGGAAAAAATTGATAAACAAACACCCATTAGTGAGGCGTATTCAAGTAAGAAAAAAGTCAGGGCCCAGTTGTTCAAAGGGCGCATAATGCTATCCAATGGTTAACTAGCCGTCCAGAAGATGCGTCAACAAAACGTATTGCGCTATTCTATGGATCGAGATTCATGCCGTGATTGGCGCTTCCCCCGTCCCACTCTTCTAGCAATCGAAGATAGAACAGTTAACTTTTTCCACGAGAAAACGAGCCTAATAGCGAGCGCAAAATGAGAAAGTTTTACCAGGGCTTGCATTGAGCTGCTGGTAATCAATCACGTTGGAAAATTTTGTCACAGCTTTTGATCAGCTATCATATTGAAAAAACTCCTGAGGTAATATATTTAAAATTCCCACCTGTGAACTCTTCTACATCATTTCGACGTATGCGCCGATGACTTGACATCTTTCCTACAGAATCAAAGTTGTATTATTATTTTATTATGGTCACGGCCCGCAGATATCACACAATAACTTTTGCGCTTTTGACCCACATAGTATTTATAATCATTGGAAAGCGTAACAAGTAGGAATATTAATCTTGTCCGGATAGACAAAATAAGGTTTATTTTGTCTATCCATGACCTTTTTTGGTCTTCCTGTCTTCATAAAACCCTTCAACAATTCTAGACAATTAGGATTTTTTTGTCAATTCCATGACTATTTGATTGTTTTTTAGGTTGTATTTATGTTTGTCTGTATTCTAGTTCGGGTGGTTGGGTGGTTTTACCAAACGTGCTCTTGGAATAAGATGCTTTTACAAGGACATGAAAACACCAAAATAAGTAGTGGCCGTGGTTTTGTTTGTTTGTTTTTTTTGGCTCGCTACTTGAGTACTAGTTTGTCGGTTGGTTGGTAATACCAAATCGCGTTCTTCGAATGCCTCAACTGGGAAACATCAAGAGCAAAGTGAGAAATTATGAAGTTGTTATCAAAGCTAGCCTGTTACCTTCAAAATCTTTAGTGCTGCACCACTCTTTACATGAGACGAAAGAAGATTCCTGTAAAAAGGGAATCGATTAAAATATTTTTTTTCATTGTTTCATCATCAACACATCTTTATCACCCAACAGACAGGAAGATAAATATCTTCCTTAGGAAGGAGTGAGTGGGAAGTACCAGTGCACACCAGCTTTAAATAGAGCTCACTGGTGATAACGTAACAGCTGTGTCTCATAGCAGGACCTTATTACACAGCGCTGCAAGAAAACGCGTTTTTGATAGTTGATACGAGTTGAAGAGAGGTTTATTGGGAACACTTATACTGGGCAAAAAAAAAAGTCGTGCCAAACCGCCCATAAGTAAGGATCTGCTCGCGGGCTAAGTGATGCTCGTTACACATATTTTCTTGTAAAAAAGCTCCCTCCTTCCTTCTTTTTTTTTTTTTTTTTTTTTTTTTTTTCATAGAGCGTTAGAGAGCAGAATATAATTTTTTCGTATTTGTTTCTAATTGTAATATCACTGCCGTGAAAAATAGAAAGGGATCAAAACTGTTTTGCATCAATCACGTAAATAGGACTTTAATTAATCCCATGCACTAATCTCTTTCCACTCACGCTCTCCAAAAAAAACGACAAACGCTATTTTAATAATCAGTTGGAGGAAACAAAAAGAAAAACACGACAACAGGTTCATGTTTTGGATCATTCACATGCTTATGAATAATCAAACCGATGCTTACAGAGGCTTCACTGAAATCCTCGGTGATCTAGCTTCGGTTGTTCAAAGGTTGGATGACGCTATCCACCGGATGAATCTCTATCCAGTAGATAGCGCAGTACGTTTCGCAATCACTTATCCGTTGGGTAGTGATTTATCCGTTGGGTAGTGATTTATCCGTTGGGTAGTGATTTATCCGTTGGATAGCGTTATCCGCCCTTTATACAAATGGGCCCTGATGTTTAAATGTCCTATATGAATCTTTTCGCGTTTTCTACGCATGAGATTGGATGAAAGAAAGTAGTTACACGTCGCATTCAGATGATATAAATTTGGTTGAGAGCGAAAATCGTGTCTGTGACGCGGCGTGTGATTTTTAACAGGCTCTAAACTAGGAGGAAAGTTATTGTCACGTAGCTGATCCACAACATATACGGAAAAGCTAAATGTAGCTCCCTGACCTTAATTAAAGAACTCTAGTGGGAGACTACGGTAACAATAGTAGGTACAAATGAAATATTTGTGAGCGCAGGAAATTTATGCCATATATATGGTTCTTAAACTAACTAAATACATAGATACAGTACCCAATTAACTATTTAAATGATTTAATATTGATATTAAATTTCCACCCATTTTCCTATAACTTTCTTCCTCATAATTCCCTAATTAAAGCTTTTCCTTTTCGAATCGGCGCATTTGTACAATCACACAACAGGAACAATTCTAGGAAACCCACACCTAAAGAAATACCCGAGCTCACGTCATAATTTTCATCATGTTCTGCAACCGTAAATCTCTTCAAGCCTCCTAGGAACACGTTGTATGATCTACTTTCTCGAAACATCATACATGATTACTCTTCTAGCCTTTAGTCGAAGGGCAACTAACAGAGAATCTTCTCCGCCATATAAACATTTATATTGAATGATTCTGTGCCTCGTAAAATTTTGCATACGCGGTCAGTGAGGTATTTTGTGTTCTCCTGTAGTGTTATCCACCACTTCGAATACACAAATGCCGTACGTTTCGCTGAAAACTCATAAAACTATACTCATGATTAGGGTTCGTGACAGTGAAATACAATGAAACGCTCCAAAACATCTCCTCTTGCCAAGGTCACAGACAATAGGAGTGCGCCGATGAAACACGCTGGTACGAGCAAAATTTATGTGACCTTATGATCGCAGAGGTATTTGATATTCTCTAATATATATGTTGTTGAGAAGACACTTATCGTAACTGTGTACTTCTATCATAACCGCAAAAGTAAACCTTTCAAAAGATAAAATTCCACTTTGGTAAAGAATGCCTGTTGTCTTTGGAAAAAATTTTGCCGTGCGGAGCTCGTGTTTGGACAAGGAAAATCTGTTAAGCTTCCTAAAGAACTCCGCAATACGTCATGAGCTAAAACAACTGTCGCAGATTAGCGCACGGTATTGCCACGGTATTGAGGACCACAATGAGAACTACTGGTTCTACCAATAATTGTGTCATCCAATAAAGTAATTATTATTATTAAACGCCTATGAACAGACTGAGGAACTTGAATTTATTACTGGCTTTTCTTAAGACAAAACTTAGTATTCAATGTAAGGATTTGGTTCTCAAGATACGTTGATTATCTAATTTCTGGCCTACTTTGTTTTCTCCAAACCATACACCATCAGTCTTGCAGTTCAATGTTCTCGAGGGCATCGTTTTGTACACCGAAAAGATGCCTTAAAGCTGCAGGTTATCATTGAAACTTAGCTTCAGCTGTCGAAATCGAAAAGCAAACACGTTCTCGGTTACAAACCTGTAACTCTTATCGCTGTTACTAAAGTGACTTTCGTTCCGGATAATTATATATTCGTTCCTTTCAAACACGTTTCTTTACACGGTCTCAACGGAAGTGTTTTATAAAACGTATCGATCGACAGTTCACAAAGCTGTTACTAAATCTCTCAATAATTTGGTTGAATATCTATCTTTAGAAATTTTACCCGTGGAAGATCGAACTTATACGCGACACCTTGACGGAACGATCGATTCACGAAAGTCACTTAGTTTTGTATCATATGGAACTTAATCAATCCCAAATATATTTGAAAGTTTCAATAAGCTGTATATTTGCCTCGATATATTGAGAGATTTTATCAAGAAAAATCCCATACCTTGCCATCTGAGAATGAGCGTAGTGGAAGCACGCGATCTGCGCAAAGACACAATCGACGTCTTGTAGGTAGATGCCTCGCTCGTTCTGTTTCAGTAACCATTAGCATGGCCAAAAACACGAACAGTACTTCAAAGGCCATAGGGGTAAGCAGCCACGATCAGTTCTTCATGTTAAATTCATATAAATCGCGGCAGGAAATGAAACGTCCAAGAAACTGCGACTTGAGCCAAATGCTTGATTTTTCAGATAAGTCTTGTACACAAGTACTATCACGACAACATCACCATGCACTTTGTGCAGTCCATAAGTTGAAACTCGTATACGTATTTGTCCTCCCTGCGTATAGTTCCTTGAAACCTGCTCGCCAGGCGTACAATTTTAAGCTCAAAGCTTCTTTGCGATGAACTCGGGCTGTTTAGGATATGATCTGCGTCACAAGACTTTAAAGTGCATCACACTCAAGAACTACCTAGTCAATATAACCTTTAAATACGCCAGGTTGTCAATGAAGCATTATTCCTGTTCTCTGTATATTCCCGATGCTGCGTAATGCCATTAAAAATTTTAATTCCTTCCGCTACTAGTACATGCGTTACAGCATCATATCAGTTCGTGTGTAATGCAATACATAAGGAATTTAAAGCAGTAATGCACGTTTGGCTGAAAACATAATCATCTTATCGAAGAGGACCAATGAAGAGCGTGCTTTACACGAGCTTATCTGTTACTGATTGACTTCTACGGTGGGTATGTATCGTTCCTGATCTCACTAAAATTCTTAGAATTTGACCGAAAATGAGCCGTTTCTTAGAATTTTTATGACAGTGCAATACACACTTGCGAAAATACGGGCATATTGGCAAACAGTACAGTTTCTAAATTTATCTGGTAAACGAAAACAGCGAAATAATCATTGAGCCCAATGATTTTTAGGAAAAATAAGACGGGGAGTTTTATGTGTCTGTGGAGACTCAAAGGTCCGAAACCTGGGAAGTTTCGCGTCTCGTAGATGTCGATTTCGCGCGAGGCGCAAACCACTGTCGCTTTAAAAGGATCAAAACCCCCTAAAAAACTGTTACAATTTAACTTGGATGTAACTTCTGAACAGAGTATAAAACGCATGAAAATCCTAAGAAAGAGCATTGCATCGAAAGGGCATAGGGTAAAATATGGACTGGACCATTGGACTCTTGGACTATTTGACTATTTTTTTGGACCATTTTTCGGACCATTTTATTGTGGGGCCGTAGAACATTGGAACTAAGGGATGGATGGGACGCAGTCTATCAGTACTCAGAGAGGGGTGGGTGGCAAACTGTTGTTACTAAGGGAGGGGTGGGAGACGAACTTTTAGTACGAAAGGAGGGATGCGAAGTGGTTGTATTAGTAAATGCTACTGATTAATAGAGTTTTAATAGATCATTTAAATTATTTTAAGCGGTTTTTCGACTGACTATTTTTATGTAAAAGTTTTTGCGCTGGGTCGTAGCGATCCTCTATTTTTTGTCACGCCAATGCGAAACTGACACCTAAACACTGGACTAAGATTGTTATTGAAAATATCGTCAATTTCCGCTTTCGATCAACTGACAACAAAAACAGCACAGCTTCAGTGCTGGATCATTTTTTCAATGACAGGTTTGCATTTTATGGCTTAATGGCGCACTTCTTCTTTCACATAACTGATGTAATGATTCATTAAATCCCCACAAGTGAAAATTACAGAATTACCTTTTCTACAAATTTCGGATTTGTGATTCAAAAATTACAAATTTCCTTCGCAAATTGCCGATTTGAGTGAATCTTGCAAACTACATTTTTCCATTCCGTTTTGTTTCGCAAATTATAGTAAGCCCTCTTAGAGACAATAACAAAACGACTACTACATTTCGCAATGACTCGAGAGAACATGAAATTGCTTTCCAATTTCTGAAACAGTCAAAGCTGACTAGTGTTTGTTAGCTACAGACCAGATCAAAATATTATGCGAAAAAAGGAAAAAACCGAACTGTTCAAATAAAGTTAAAAAGCGTAGGCCGTGGGAAATGGCACTTTAAGCCGGAAAACTGTGTATCTGAAAAGACTGAAGATTGCTTTGAACAGAACTACTAACAATGTATTTATAGTAAAGGTGCAGACTTTAACATTGCGATAGCGCTTGTGAATACAATGGCTCAGGATCGGAACTCCGGGATCTCTATCGTTCGCATAGGATCAATGACAAGAGGAAGATAGATGAATTCTGTAATGATATACTGTTCACACAAAGGGAACCATTCCTGCCTTCCCTCAGTTACAACAGTTTCCTTTCCCCTTCCCGAGTACTGATAGACTGCATCCCACCCCTCCCTAAGTACTTATGGCCTACCTCCCCCCTCCCCCAATTAAAAGGTCCAAAAAGACTGGTCCAAAAAAGTATCCAAAAAATGGTCCAAAAAATGGTCCAAAAAATGGTCCAAAAAATGGTCCAAAAAAATAGTCCAATAGTCCAGTCCATATTTCACCCTATGGCCATTGAAAGGGACTCAAACAATCTTTTGTAGATGTGGGATATAAGGATATATACAATGATGTGTTTATTTGACAACAAATTGAATCATCGCCATCTCAATATACACCATGCTAATAATGGACCAGTCACAATTTATTGCCTGAGGGGAGGGGAGTTCGGGGGAATTTAAGGAAGATCACATGGTTTTTCAAGGGGAACGAGGGACCAGTCATCTCCAACAGAGTTCAAGGGGGGGGGGGGCTGTAAAAATTGACAGCCAATATAGGGGAATTATCAGAATTCTACAGAGTCTTGTGAGGGAAACAGGTAAATATAATTGCGGAGAAACACACAACCAGAATCTTCCCACTCCCTTCCCCTCTCCCCCGCAGGCAATAAACAATGCTCGGTCTTTAACCCCATATATATAACCTGATTGTAAACCGCGAAAAAAGGGCTAACTATTGAAATTAGTTGTGCGGTATTTTTGTCCAATAGGCCCAAGGAGACTGACTGGCTGACCAACTGACTGAAAGACACTGACTTATTACTAAACCCTAAAAGTGACTGCCATCTAATTTCTCCCAAAAATTTCAGCTCTGAATCAAACATTCAGGTAGCGACAAGAAAGGAAATGATCACCAGCTAGAAGAGCTCTTGATTGTTTCACAATTTCTTCTTGTCAGCAATATAGGAAACGTGTAGAGTGCAGTATAGAGAATATGCATACTGATGTTGGGGTGTAAACGGTTAACTTTCCCACCAGTTGACCCCAACACGGAACGATTCACAAACTAAATCATTAAATATTTCGCGGCTGCCTATCGGACTAATTAAGAATTGAGCAGTTTCCTTAGATAACAAGGAACAGATTGCAAAAAGGAACACGAGCAAACAAACAAATAAATACAATAAAGCATTGAACCTCTGAACGATGATGATCGCGTCAATCTTCGTATAGCAAAGGAACACTGAATGTACATATTTTCTTCAACGTTCTCAATATTGAAGCCCCGCCTTGGCTCCCTTACACAATAAAAAAACAAGATTGCAGATCATTCGTCATAATACATTTCTATTCGTCATCTTCAGCACTTCCAGGGCTGGATAATAGGTTTGTCGTTTAAGCGCTTGAAAATTTTCTGCTCATCCTCAGGCCATTTATAGATCAGCTCAGCCCACAGAGGGAGTTCCTGAGGTTTAATGTTCGTATTTGGTAGAGCAATGCACACCATTTTACTAGCGGAGTGAGTCTGTAGGAAAATTTTCTTAAGCAAAGCAAGTTCATACCAAACGCGCTCGTGTTCCTGAAAATTGAAAAAACGAAATATTTCTTGAGAGCCCACTCTAGCAGAGGGAGAACTAACAAAAGCGTTTTTTTTCGTTTACCTGATGAGTTTCCGGATCATCTTCGTCAACTCCAGAAAGACGCAAAAGTCCCGGAGACAGAAATATAAGGACATTTCGAGCTCGCCGAATTTGTTGTTCAGCCCAGCGAGTTGGTCCACTAGAGAGTTCGCAGGAATTCATCACATCCATCTCCACTGGGTAGCCATTGTTCCTGAAGAAATTCACGACCGAAGCTACTTGAAGCTTGAACCACTCGTTTTCAGGAAAATAGCATGCGTAGAAAGAGTCAGGACCTAACAATTGAAAGGTTTGAAGATGACGTAACGCGATGACGTAACACGATGACGCAAACAAATGAGGCAATCGATGACTATAGACTGAGGTACATGTAGAAACTTACTAATGGGTTACAACGAAAGCCTCAACCCTTTAAACCCTAACATCAAAATGCATATTCTTTATACCGCTCTCTATAGACTTCCTTGGGTGTTGATGAAGAGAATTTTCTTAATAATCAAGAGATTCTTCAGTTGGTGATCATTTCCTTTATTCTTGTGACCTCAATGTTTGTTTTAGGGTTGATTCTGATGAGGGAAAATCGTTACTTATCACTCTTAAGGGTTAAAGGGTTCACCAAATCTTACCTACAAGGAGATCGCATCAGAGGTGTAAAAAGTAGGGGGAAATTAAAGAGATCCACTAACTTTACAGAATTTGTGTCTACACCAGAGTCTGATTACAAGCAGTTTTTAGGGGTATCTGTTTGCAGCGTACTGCAAGTCGACGAAAAGAAAATAATTTCAGTGCAAATGTTATCACATGCAAGAAAATGGATGTTTAGTTAAGACAGCATCTTTCATCTCAATGCAGCTCTTAATGCGATCCGACCACCATTAATTTTAAACTAGCATTTGAAGGAAATGATTTTTTTCCAAACACGTCAAAAAGGGGAATATTTTAACCCTTCAGGGAGTTTCTAAATAAGAACTCAAGAGTCCTACACTAACCTGCGTTTGGAGCTGTTGAAAGAGCTACTGTGTTGGAAAAAACCGCAATAAAATGGTCAGTATAATATTCAGTATAACATTACATTACAAAGCAAATAACTTACTTATTTGCACTTGACAACACCCACTGACAGCCCAACCACTTGAATTAAACCAGTTTTTTAGATAGCAGGAAAATCGATGGTTCAACACCATAATTCTATATAGTCCATGGGAAAACAAACCGACTTATTAATCAAGAATCAGGACAAAACTTAAATCCGCTTTGAGGTATCTCTATACGTCTGACCAAAACGAACGCTGATAAAGTTTTTCAGAGCGATTGTAACTATTATGTGATATGAACACAGGAAGATGAGCCACACACCTGGAGTAGGCCTTCCTGGGGCTACGGAAAGAGGATTGAATAAAAAAAAAGAAAGTTTAATTACAATACTTACAAGTTTATCTAAAACAATACCAGTGAACAAAACACAGCTTTTGTAATAAGGCAACTTGCGTGGAAAACAAAACATACCTGGAATGGTGACTGTCATGATTCCAAAATAAAACAGAGACAGAGTGAGTAAATTCAATTCACGGTAAAAATAACAAACTACTGATACAGAAGCATAATAATCCAACAATGATGAACCCACATTAATTTCAAACAACTTTTCTCCAAATACAACTTTATGGAAATAAATAGGAAAGTCACCAATGTGCTCTTAATCATTGTTTTTTTGGAGCATGGGTAGTTGACCCCGTGATAAGAACAAGTCGTCCATAATACTCTAACATCACCACAGTAACAGTGCCCAAGTTTCGATAACATTCATGAACATTAAGGTTACGTAAAAACGCACTTCCTTATTAACCACCATTACCAAAGCAAGTTCCAAAAATTGCAAGGGCATTCAGTTATATTTAATTACGCACACACGAATTATTTATTAACTCTTTAACCCCTCAGGGCGACTAGCTTCTAATTTTTCCCTACATTACTATCCTTGTATCAAATGTAAAGGTCATAAAAGTACTGGAAATGATCATCAATTTAAGACGCTCCTGTTTGTCAAATTTAAGCTAAATTCTCCTTGAATTACCACAGGAAATGTAGAATGATGAGTGTGGAAAATGTCAATACTAATGTTAGGGTGTAAGGGGTTAGAGTGAGCACACAGAAAGATATCAGAATGAAAAGATATATCATAAAATCACCTAAATTGTTTGGTGGCATGAAATACCTCTCTTGACGCCTGTCACCTGTTAAAAAAGATTCGAAATGTAATTACGAAAGCTGGAAACATCTCACAATACGTGCACTCTTATGGGTATCAACTTAATGCCGATAACATGGCGAACAACAACAACAACAAAAACAATGGAAAAAATACAAATAGATCAGGCAAAGTAATGGCGCTGCGGCCTTTTGAAGCTCTGAACACAACGTCACGCGCCAACACACTTTTCTGCAGAAATGGATCATCAGGTCAGAACTCGTGCAAACGAGTAAAATAAAAGAGGATGGACATTTATCAGTATTAAAAAACCTCCTTAACCCTTTAACTCCCAATATCTAATTGACAATTCTCCCCTCGAGCTGTCACACATTTCCTTGTTAATTGGATACAAGAATTTGGTGTTAGATCAAGAAAACAACTCCAACCTAATAAGTTTGAGCATTCTCGTTATCTGTTTGCTACATTATGTATGGATACTCAAGGAAGAAGTTACTTGTCTATCACTTCTGGGAGTGAGAGGGTTAAGTAGGAAAGGCAAATTCCAACAAAGTTGCCACAAAGGGATTGGCAATTCAAAGAAAAGCGTTGTACAGCTGTCATTCGATTCTTCATCTGGCCTTCAAACCAGTCAGAAGGCCAATTCATCTCAACTTTTTTATCTTTTTTCATGAAGGAAAATATTTCCTGGAGGGTAAACAGGACCATTTTAGTATTGCCCTATGCTACTTTATTTTACTTTTTTTTTTAAGGTCTCGATCTTTAGTAAACAAACCTTCATAAAGAAGTGAACATGGCCTGATTCGTCTACGATAAATGAAGAACAAGAAAGCTGCCAATAACACAAGGCCAAAAACTGCACCAGAAGCGGCCACCGCAATTTTGATGGTGTCTGTTGAGAAAGAGTATGGTTTATATGTGTAACAAGTGATGAGATGGAATGGGAGTTTATGAACAGTATGCGTATTCAAAGGTGGAGGGGTCGGAAACAACTGGATGAATAAGAGGATGTTGCATTACACTAAAAAAATTAATTAATCATAAAACACCGCCTTACGGGAACTTAATCCACAACAGCCTGCTTGCCAGTCTCGCACATTATGATATATCAATAGAAAGTAACGTTTTCTCTTGTATATATTTAACAAATTTATTCCATGACGCCGTGCGTCCGCTTAGTAAAAACTCACAGATGACGTCAAAATGGGGGTAAGAAAAACAAAGTGGCACACGAGGCGCCGCCGAGTGCGTCACCGATGTTCCTACTACATGGGGCACCATAAGACTGGTCCTTCCAAAAGTCAGTAAAATCAACAACTTAGTATCGTGGAGATACGCTGCATCGAAATCGTGGAACGCTATACCAGACGCGTCTCGGAAGATTCAAGCATACACTGCTTTTAAAAACAACCTAAAATCATTCAATCTCACGGGACTCTGAGTCCGATGTAGATCTATTCTTGATCAATCTTTTACCCTTTTTAAAATTTTCAATTTTTTTCATATATTATATATACATATTTTTTTAACTTAGTTTGAAAAACATTGTGGAATTTTCATATTTCGTATTAGTTCGTTTTTAATCTTAACTTATCATAAATTTATAAACCTTCAAAAGGCTTTATATTATTTATAATACATTGATTGATTGATTGATTGATTGATTGATATTAACGTCATCTGTGATCTATTACTGAACAAACCCAAGGCAATATGGAATCTATTTGTTTTTTATGATAAAAAGAGGTAGAAGATTGTTCGTGATGACGTCATTCATGCCCCTGTCCTCTAACAGATTATAGGTAGGACCCATCAAAATTCGTGGATATTTCAACCTATTAAATAACAGGTGATAATAAATAGCTTACATCAACGTTTTTAGGGGGAGAGGAATTTTCACTTCGTGGACTTTTGACGAAAACATTTATGTTTATAAATATTATATCCTTATATTGTAAACATGTATTATATATCATAGACAACTCTAGGAGATTGTCACGCCTTACACAGAAAGAGGCTATGATTCACTTTAGCCACCAATCAACTTTTCATCGGGATTGAGTGCTCCTCTAGCTCTGTTATCACATCTATATATCAAATACAGGCCATTTCCGTCTTTTATAAAAACTTTGCTTTCAGATTGAGACCAAATGCAAAGCCCTCGTTAACAAGAGGACAGAAACCTTAGTTTAGTTCATCAATATTTTCCCATGAAATGCTTCGCTTTTAGTGACGTGATTTATCTGGGAAATGGCCACCGTTTTGCAACTGGCCTGGAAATCACTAAAAGTTTACTGCCACAGTAGACGGCGTGGCTGGCGGTTTTGTATGTGCTTCAAGCGCAAAGCGATGAAGCCATGAAAACGAGCGGAGAAGCTGCTGGAGGTTTCAACGCCCACAAAACCGTCAACCACGCAGGCTTCCTCCACTTTTCTGACTGAAAGACATTTCAAGCTCTTACCGTTAGAGGACGTTGGAGGAAATGTCGGCAGTGGTCGTGCGGGAGGATCTGCTAATTAAACAAAACTTAATCGGTTGACTTTTCTTTTAAACCTAATCAAACAAGGCGGCTCGGCTACCAACCCTAGAACCACGTGCTCCCTGGAAAGACAATAACTGTAAATCCAACATTACAACATTACCAGCAGCAATTCACTACCAAATTAAAAATACTCTAAGAAGTGTTGGGAAACAAACAAAAGGCAATACGTACGATATGTCTTCATGAGATGTGAACTTTCTTTGGAGTGAGGATAAGTGTAAATCTGCAATAAACATCATCGGTTACATCACGAAAAAAGCCCTTAACCAGTTAGCCATTACCTACTGTACTTCTTACCATTGTCTTTTCCTTAACTTACATGCAATAATAAAAATGTAACAAAAAGTTACATCAAAATCACTCCTCGGAGTTAACTACAGATATAGTATTAGGAGAACTGACCCAACCATAGCAATGAGAGGTGAGTGCACTCCGACTAACTACAGCATCATCCCAAAAAGGATGTGAAGGTCAAAAGGTGTACAGAACGTGGGATTGTTTAAAGGAATACACTTAAAACGATTTATTGTTAGAAGAAGTAGTTAAAATGACAGCAGATAAACTTATTTCACTTGGGAACTGATGTTGTTATGAAAAACAGGGTAAGTAAACACACATGTACAATACATACCACCATGTGAATAGCACTTGGATATTCCCAACCCTCACCATCTGCAAGAATGAACTTATGCTGGTCCTAAATGGTAAAGAGGAACAAAGAACAACAACATGCATCATTGGGAGATTTTAAAGATAACATTACAAGGCAATTGCCATAGTCTGTAAACAAAGCTTGTGACACTAACTGTGACTGGCACTGAAAAATGTAACTGGCTTCTTTGTGGTAATCTTCCACATTGAAGAAAAAGGACATTTTATCACAGGTCTGTGCAAGCAATCATTATTACCATAAGTACATCTTTGTTTGGGAAACAAGGTTCTAAAATTTAGTTACAGAATAAATCTCATCTCCATGGTTGAACAAATATTAAATCTTAATCACTTTTATTGAAGTGGATGAAGGTCAATGCCAGATATCCAAAAAAATTACTGCATTGACTAATGTTCAATTTTGTTTATAAATCAATCTAATTCAAATTTCTAATTAGGACTTGTGGTCTTCTATTTATTTTAACATTTTTTTCAAATAAATAAATGTAACAAAGGTAAACAGCTTATCATTTAAAAAATACCTTTGGTATCAATTTACAAAAAGGTTGTCCTTCCCCAGACTGGTAAAAAATGGCATATGATGTCCAGTTGTACCATGGATCTTCACATTACATAGGAAAGAAAGCAAACAAATTATGAGTTGGCCAATCTCCCAAGTCCCAAGATCTAATTGTTAATTCTCCCCTCTAGCTGCTACACATTTCCTTGTGAATTAGTTATGTGAGTTTGGTACTGGATCAAGATAGCAGCTCCTAACTGAAAAGTTTGACTATTCTCATTACCTGTTTGTTGGATATTATACAGATATTACAGGGAGAAGTTACATGTTAATCACTTTTGAGAGTTAAAGGGTTAAAACAAATCTGCAAATTGCAGGAAATTGTAAGGAAACAGATCATGATCTGGCACCCACTTCAAAACTTCCTCTCAAGCTTGGTAAAAGTCAACAAAGATCTTCAGTTGGTACAAGAAGTTTGAGGACTCTTAGACCTACCAAAGATCCTTAAAGACAAGGACCTTTAAAGGATCCTCACAAGGATCTGATGGATCTTTATATCCAAGGTCAGTTGTTAAGAACCTCAATGATTTGATGAAGATCCTCTAAGGATCCTACATAGATCCTGATAAATATCCTAGAAAGCTTCATCAAGCTCTTCAAACAAAGACAAAACAAGGATCTTTCAAAGATCTTAAAACAATCCCTTCAAGGAACTTATTAAGATATTCACTTAAATCTTTCAGGATTTGATCAGAATCTTACAGGCATCCTTGTCAAGATCTTTGCAACATTTTTGCAAGAATCTTTCAAGATCTTTGAGGATAAAATGAGGATCTTGCAAACATAATACATACATAAATCAACAGATCAAAAATGAAAGCAAAACTCATACACTACATGTGTAAACAATTTGGGATGGAGATGGCATCAATGATTTTTTATCTTACCAGTGTAAACTGGCTTCCATGATATTGATAAGTTTGGTTTTCTTTCCAAAAAATCCACTTCCACAGTAGCTTTAACAGAATGATGATCCAGAAACAGGGATGGTATTAAACAATCTGAGTGGAAAAGTATTGAAAGGAGATATTCATTGATATTTATAACAAACTGTATGGTACACAATGTAGGTTCAGCTCTTCTCTTATATTTTAGTGCATCTCTAGACTTATTGACCCTTCAACTCCCACGATCTGACTGTTAATTCCTCCCTGTAGTTGCTTCTCATTCCCTTGTAAATTAATTAAGAGAATTTTGTGCCAGATCAAAATAACAACTTTTACCTGATAGGTTTAACCCTTTACACCCTAGCATCAGTATGCATATTCTCCACACCGTTCTCCATAATTCCAAAGATGCTGACAAGGAGAACTTGATTAACAATCAAGAGTCTCTTTGGTTGGTGATCATTTCCATTATTCTTGTGACCTTATGTGTGATTCAGGGGGGATATTGTAAGGAGAAGTTAGATGCTAGTCACTCTTGGGGGGGGGGGGGGGGCGGGGTAAAGGGTTTAGTATTTCCATAACTGTATGCTGGATAATGTATGGATATCATAAGGAGACATTACATGTTAATCACTTATGAGAGTTCAAGTGTTAATATGTATCAATATCTTTGCATGAAGTGCATCAAAAATATGAAGCAGACATTCATTGCTGAAGAGGGGTATAAAGATACACATTTCTTGTGCTATTTGAGAATGAAGATTTAAAGTTATCATGTACATTGTACATGGGCAATGAAAAATAAAATAGGCAGTGAGTTGCACAAGCATACAGTCTAGCAATTATGTTTCCATTTTTCTAAAGTAACCTTTTGAATACTTCTAATATTATTTTCAAAGAATTACCAACAAAATATTGTAAGAAGAATGAACAAAAAATGTATATATTTCAGCGTAAAATTTTTTTGGATCTTGTAGAGGGGGTCAGCGCAGAAAATTCTTACTTCAGTTATGGGAAACAACCCAATGTGACATAAATGACTGTAAAGGGTGCATATAACCCCAAACAGCTAACACTCTGAATAAAAAAATCAAGCCATTAAAATTAAGCCAATGAATTCATTGGCAACCTATGCATTATCCCATCTGCAACATCCAATAGGATTTTCTAGAAAGAAATGTCACATCATAGATACACATGTTTTCAACAGTATTCCACCCACTAATTTGTAATCTTGCTCAATCACCTTATAGTAGTTGTAATAGTGGCCATTCTAGCCTAAGCAATCACCACATACCCCGTCTTCTCAACCACTACGTACACAATAGTAGCCAGGCTAGAAGTGGTTCCCTGGCCATAGTTCCCCAGTTTGCTTTGGCATTTGTTATCATAACTCCATTTGCATTAGATAGTAAATAAATTTTCTTTTCTTACTTTCTTTTTTCTCCTGCTTTCTTTTTTCTCCTACAACATCTCGTCTTATTCGCATATTCTTTGTAACTACATCTAGAGGAAAGGAATTTGTAAACATGGTAAGACGATCCTTGGCTAATAATTTTTAATTCACTTCAAGAAATTCCTCTTGTAAAGAGCCTTAACTAAGATTTTGTTGCCAAAAATAATCCCCTTTTTACTTTTTTCTTGTATTTTTTCTTACTTTTTTCCAGCTCATAAGACAGTTGATGGTACAATTGAATAGGATGGTTTATCACCTTATATTCAACAACCTGGGCCCACTTGTTCAAAGGCTGATTAGCTCTAACCCAGGGTTAAATTTTAATCCAGCTTTCTTTATTTCTTTGTTCAAAAGTCTTTTTGGGAAAATTTTCACTATTCTTTTTAGAACATCCAATGATCAAATTGCAAGCAAAAAGATTTGAACTGAATTTTCTCCTAAAGTTTTCAGACCTGAAATCAAATTTCACACTAACCCTGGGTTACCTTAACCCAGCTTTGAACAACTGGGGCCAGGTGTAGGTAGTGCAGCTTTGCACTATCATATCATGCACTAACTGTACATCAGTCAACATAGGAAGTGGTGCCCAACTAATATCTGGATCCAGGAGCTTATTTTTTTTTGTTTTGTTTTGTTCTTTTTTTACTTAAGAATCAAAATTTAAAGGATTGAGAAGCAGGTTCTGACACCCTACCCAGTCCATCTTGTTTCTTTAGCTGAGTCTTTTATTGTATAATTTTCAAAACTTTTATAACCACTTTAAATGAAAACAGAACAGCTTTGCAGCCCATTTAACTCATGGGGACCTTCTAGAAACAGGCCCTACACAGGTTCCATTGAATAGGAAATTTTCCCAGACTTCACCACATTCTATAATAAGTGCAACTGTAGTTTATCTGGTCAAGAGTTTGTTATTTGTCATTATCCAGCAGAAAATTTGATAATAATGATTTACTTATTTCATTTCACACTGAAAAACAGAAAGTATTAGTTAGGCTATATATGTAATGAGCTAATATAGGACAGAGGCCAAAAGTCAATCAAAATTTTTGTCCTGCATAATCCAATCTTGCAATTTCTAATAACCACCTTCTTCTTTGCTTTTCATGCATTCCCTGAGGCACAACTGAGACAGCTGAGGAGCTCTCTAAAATGAAAAAGGCAGAAACGCTGGTGAAATATACAGGAAAAACAAACAATAGAGTAACTCATGTATTTATAAAAAACTTTCAAACATACGATTACAGTTACCATTTTAACCCAGACTCCCAAGAATGATTACCATAGAAATTATCCTAAGTATACAATTCTTGTTCACTTCCTCGTAAACAGGTACGGAGAATTTACAAAATCATCAGAGAGGGGATACTCTGTACTTTAAATGTCTTGAGACATCATGAAATTTTCATTAAAAGCCAACCGAGACATGTTTGGCAATCAGTAAGGAGAGTCTAAGATGTTTGAGTCAGAGACAATTGGCTCAATGGTTTATAATCCATTCTGGAGCACAGACCAAGAAACTTTTTCAGAGACAATGCCAAAATTTGAAGCAGTTACCACAAAGGGGCTCTGAATGCAAGATTTGAGTAACCACCTAATCATTTAACTTTGGTTGAGACAAAATTAATTATAATACTACGATATTTTCTCCTGCAAAATTTTTCTGGGCATGAGACCAACTTTTTTTGTCGCTATTTTACGATCTTTGATTGTTTAAAACACACATACAATTCCTCTTCTGTTTACAATAATACATGCTACCCACTTCAAAGCTACTTGATACTTTGCAATTGCAAAACTGCAATACTACAACAATACTATGCATATACATTATCAGTCGATGACGATGTCTTCAGAAAAGTCTTTGTTTGAAAGCAACTATTTTACACTGTGAATTGGGAGAGAATGAAATAGCAGCTATAATATCAATCATTAGAATGGATTATCCATGTAAACTCCTATGGCAACAATGAAACCAATTCTGTTTTTAAAAACCCCACAAGAAATTGCAGAATTAAACATGCTGTTGCATACTTTTAACGCAAGGAAATGTGATACTTTCTCTTAATATTGGCCAAGGAACTGTACCCATAGTATTTTTAAATTAAACTAACAGGTACAATGTTTGTTTCTCGATCGAATGAGAGCAGCCATTCGCCTTCAGGGTTTGAAGCAAACATTACGCTGAAGCGCACCTGTTCTGTTTTCTAATAACATTTTTAATTGATGGCAATATTTGGCAAGTCTACATCAATATCGCCTTGCCTAAAGCCTTGTTTCCAACTTTGAAGAGTGATATTTCACGTGGGAATGAGTTGAATTCGTGCGAACTAACTATATTTATTGTGTGCGACTTGTAATTATTGCATAAGTAAACTATGCGAAAGCCACACTGTACGTTTCCTCCCATCTAATCCTCACCTGGAATCATTTTAATTAGAGATGAAAGGCTAGGGAGGGAACGGGGCGGTAAAAATAACTAATAATTTAAAAGGAATCGTAACATCCTTGGTTGAACGTTTCAAAAATTTATGACTTCCTGCAACACTGCTCGAAAAACAATGCACAACCCGTCGCTGAAAATGTTTTGATCAGTAAAGCTGTAGAGAGGTCCGAGCCTAGTCCGGAGAAGCTATTACAACTTCCATTAGTTCCCGCCTTCATAACGGGTTGTTTTTAGCACCTCTACGCCTTGATACAAACGCATTTCTTCGATGTTTTGTCTAGACAGGGGAAAAAGCGTAATGAGCAATTGCCACATGGTACTACCACTAACCAAAACATACTCTAGCAATAGTATTGTTACAAACCTTTTGGAAATGTAGTGTGTCTTGCCTCTCAGATCTGCATCGAGACTCACAAATCGCCAGGCGGTTGTTTATAGTTCTGTCTTCGGTTTTTGGGTCGCTTCCGATCGTATCGCGGGGAGCGAACAACTGACCCGCTTCTAGTGAGCCTTGCGCCACGAGCATGAATACAAAGCTTATAACAAAAGCGCGTATCAAACTCATTCTTGACTACGATCTAATATCTGCGATAAATTCACTTTTACACTGTTTGGTAACAAGAAAAGTACATCTCACGTTGCTAGGAAGTCCGCCATGTTTTATGGCAAAAGCGAGAGAGATGCTGGGAGCGTGTAACCTCGTCATTCAAATGAGCATATAACTAAATACTGCTCGGTACAGGGTCACGCACACGTGCGTGCTATTTTTGGAAAGAAATAGGTAAACAGGTGAACAAACTTAATTTAACAGTACATCGATATTTACTCAGAGCTTTTAAAGTCAAGCAGAATTAGTTCTTATTTGAATGAATTTTTAAGGCCCATTTATTAAGTGATTATCCCTCAATATGTTTTTCAAAAACCCGCACTGGGAATGAATTTCATAACTCCATTTCTCGCCAAGCACCTATGCTGGTTGTAAATTTTAGGAAATCTAATTGAAAAACAAATTCCCTTTCGCTGCTGTTATTTTTAATATTTTAAGTCATAGTTTCAAATCACGATTTGGCAAAACTGGTCCAGTTCGAAAGCCCTCTTGGTAACGCAAGGGAGACATACGGATCCTGTGACGTAAATCGTAGAGCTTGGCAACCTTTTCAGGCGTTTCCGTTGCATGTCTCTTTGTTCGCTCTGTTTTTGTTTTGTTTTGTTTTGTTTTTCTCAATTTCACCTGCTTTTTTATCTTTCAAGTCGTTCGATGATTTAACCAAAATACTTTCAGGATATGTTGGGGTAAAAAGAGCTTTTTGGATCAGTCTAGACAACAGCCTGCCTTAGTAAAATCAAGGTAACAATGTCGACTTCCCTTGTAAATAAATGTCATCAACACAACTTCCTGAGTCAAGTTACAGGTAATTGGAGCAGCCTGGTTCAAAACAACATTGAAAAATTTGCATTATAAATGAAAGACCCATCTATTGCCGTTTTTAAAAGTTACCATGAAATCAAGAAGCCATTGCCTAATTGAAAGAGTGTTGGCAGCATGCTTTCTTTTAAATGTCCGTATAGAGTCCTACAGGCATACGTGGTGAAGTCAGGTTTGCTTGGCTATGAATAACACTTTTTCTTATAAAAATTAGGCATCCTATTGAAAAAAGCCTCCAGCCTCCCTTGGCTATTTACTTGTGATCGTTCAAAAGATGATCAGGAAGAGAAGAAAAAAAATCGACAAAGGGAAACAATTCAATAGTGTAAAATGACGTTGATTGAGCAACTCCTTCATCCTAAACCATCATAGAAAGTCTCAATGTACTCAACCCTCGTTCGTCAAACAAAAATAGAAATTGTGACCATCAATTAAATAAGAAATAAATTAGCGATCAACGATTTACGTTTATATCCTTATCATCGAGGACATATGGAAATATTTCTTAGATAGTGTCACAAGATTGAAAAATTATGTATAAATATAAAGTTCAGGTTTTCTCAAAGAAACTCGTAAACCGCTTCTTTCTTGTTGACATTGGCCCTTCGTCATTTTAATATTAGGATTTAAGTTCCGTTTGGATAAAAAAATTTTTTCGAAGACTATAAATGAAATATGAATAATTTACATAAAATGATTAGTTTCACTACGAGATTATTGCCGTTAATACTTTTACTCGAAATGTAGCCTCTCCCTTCCAAACATCGGTTTTGACATAAACTTGTGTAAACCAATGCACGAACAATTCTCAGAAATATACCTTCTCCTACAAATAACTATTTGCGTACACTACATAAGAAAGCAGAAGCGATTAATTAAAGCGTGGAGTTTCTAGATACCTAACCGGATCGTTACAACCTTATAGGGAAAAAAATTCAAAAGATCTAAGGGATCTCAAGGAAACACCACCCAGATGATCACTTAAAACCTAGATGATCGGGAAGATCAAGATCCTCCGGACACAGCCGTACTTTATCCGATTGTAACTGGCTCTGGACAAATGTTTAAAAACAAGGCTGTCGTAACGTTTGTATAGCAACTCAACACATAATTTACGCTGGTTTGATCGATGGCCTGTCGTTTAATCGCTTCAGGATCTCGGTGAATTCCACTGGCCACCTGTAGCTCACTTTCAGCCAGACAGGAGAGTCTTTAGACGAGACTGGCATATCTGGGAGAGCAATGCACACCATTTTTGAAGCTGAGCGGTTTTGAGAGTAAATATCTCGAAGAACCTCCAACTCAATCCACACGCGGTTGATATCCTGGAGAAGAGATTAAACAAGAAACTATAACGGCCTTCAGAATTATAAAAACATATTTCCGATTTGAAGTCTGACCGATGAAAACGATATTAGGTAAACAAGGAAGGGTACTTTAACAATGAAAAACAAAATTATTTTTAGTTAAGGTTTAAAGCATGTTTAGAAAAATGTTTCTATACTTTCTCTCGACAATAATATCAACCATGGCGATACCGAAACGTTGTGCTTTTTTCTTGGCACAACAAAAGTTTAGTCGTAAATGAAAAGGAGTAAAGGAGAATCCCAGCATGTTTCAGATATCTTCTTAATCTTCAAAACCGAAAAGCAAATTCAATGCTCATAATCGAACTTCGCTTGATACCAAGAAATATGATTAGACATTGGTCACAAACAACTGAAGGAAAATACAAACATTTGAGGTGTTTTTACATGGATTCGAACCTCAAAAACTTTCTGTTTCGCGTGCGGAGATTCTAAAAGCTTTGTCACAGAAAACTCATCAACTTTGTGTCGTGAAGTTGCCTACAGTAGTCTGTCAGAACTACTGCAATGAACCTAGCTCGGAGAAGAGATTTTAATAGAAAAGAAAATGGTTCTTTATTATGTAGTGGAGTCTATTGCTTTATAACTGATGGATGAATTGTCTTATGTTTTCCGTTTCTCTTTCTTTCTTTCTTTTTTCTTTGATTACGTCACCTGTGACAAGTTATAGCAAAAGGAAGTTGGGAAAGTCGACAAGCAGGCATAAAAGCACTTGCTCAAAAATGAAACCGGAACACGTGAAAGAAAATACACCTTTACTATTAACCGTTTAAAAATAAATTCGGGAAAAAAAATCGCCTTTAATTGTTTCAAGGACAGCTAAATGGACTAAAACCGCTTGTGTTTACCACGTTTTTTCTCATAGCCGTGTTACCTTGTTTACTCTCACTAATAACTTTAAACAATTCTGTAGTTTTTCTTTCCTTTAAGGATTGCATGCATGATTCCTTCCCGTTAAATTAATTTGTTTGTCTCCTAAGTACCCTTTTCCCTTTCGTTCGTTTACTATGTTCGAACTTTCGTCTGTCTTTATGTCACCCGATGATGAGCACTGGTTAACAACAACAAAAATAGGTCCGCAATGCGTACTTGTGTGGGATTTTATTGACAAAGTGTTTGCAAGGGGTTTTTGAGCGGAAGCAAACCTGTCGCTCACCGTGAGTCAACTGTACTACAGGGGTGATATTAGGCCTGGAATTAACAGCCTGAATAGTAATTTTTGTGCGGGAATTATTTGAACAAATACAGATTCACAGGAGAGATCTGGGGTATTAACTTATACTTTTATCAAGCAATATGCCTTTCCCTCCCTCCCTGGAAGCTTTTTGGCGTGTTTTTGAACGTTTGGTAATCGTCTTCAACAAATAAATTACCTCTTGGTGGCTTAGGCTATTTATTTGTTTATACGGCAATACTGGAAATACTTGGAGCAGTAAATATTTTCGTAACAGTCATTGAAAAAAAATTGAAAACATTTCTGCTACTACTGTTTAACTCGTGGATACACGATAGCGTAGAAACGAGTTCTTGTGGGCGCTCTGCGATATGCAAATTAGCGTGGACTCTTCGTAATTAGTCGTAATTAGTCGGCTTCGAACTCGAGATCTATCCTTCCGAAGAAGTAAGTCCAAAGTCCTGGCGCTATTATGATTGCACTGATCGTTGCGATATTTATTGTCTTAACACGCCTGTTTCGACATTTACTATATTGAAATGGACTTCAAATGTTTCAGATTAGTGGTATGATCAACTTAAAAACCAAATTTGAAGGGTCTTCGAATCGTCCATGCGCTAAACATAACGAGGACCAGCGAGAATCACTAAGACTTTGTGAGTGACAGCAAGCTGTTGACACAGAAATTCCCACGGAATCATGTATCCATGACATAAAAAAAATGGTAATTTGCAGCATTATTTCTTTCTACGCCAATTTGGGTCTTTCCGCTGTAATCGTTTCGTTTTGTTATTCTTCTATGCAAACGTTACTGTTTTGATGGTAAGAATGAAAGATGATCGCTTTCAAGAAGTCGTTGCCGAGCACGTGACTATAATCTGGCCGGTGTTGTTTTGATCACTTGACGATCTTTTTCGCTGAAAATACAGGACGACTTCCTATTTCAAGGAATGCTTTTCCAATTAATTTCTATCGCATCGGTGTAAAAAAGTACAGGTATATGGGTGTTCTGAAAAACAAAAGGGAAATTCAAAACTACGAGAAATTGCGAGTAATCGGCCTCTTCTGCTACACGCGGGTTTTTTTGGTGTAACATGCGTGTGTTTCCCATAAGTTACAAGCACTTTACGCACGTGGGAATGCTGCAATCACGAATTTTAGATTACGTGAAAGTCACGCGTGTGGTTGTTTGCTCACTTCACTAATATGTTTGTTTGCTTGTTGTTGTTTTTTTTGGTATCCTGGAGTATTTCAGGAGGGGTTGCAGACTTAACTGTGGAATAATTGTTTAATGCAGGGTTATCAATAAAGGTTGCAGTTAGAAATTAGCCAAGATGCTAAAGGAGCTGCCTTGAAATTTCAAGATTGTGTGTTATGTAGTTTATTTTTGTCTTTTGTAAATGGCTGTTAAACTGGACAACTCTTAGAAAGATGACTTCAAACTTAATTTTAAAAGGCCTGTTCTGGTACCAAATGAATAAGCAGCATTTCCCTATTAATAGTTTTGCGAGTTTCTCATTACAAATTCCTCTGAAAAAAGGGAAAAACAACTCTTTTCATAACTATTTACTGCTTTCTTTTGTTGCTCTCTTAACTTAAAAACAATGTACATCATGATAAAGTAATTTGTTAGAGGACACCGTGAAATGAGGCCCAAACAGCTTTATGATCTGTGAAATATGTTGCTAAAACATCTGCTTGTATATCAATGTTAGATATATTTGTATAT